GTGTGCCTTTGAACTTTTGTTGCTGCTTTTGCTTCGCGCCAATAGAAGTCGGGATTCGTTTCGTCGACGTCGACCGACTGCAGGATGCGCAGTCGCTTCGCGGGAGGTTCCATGGTCGCACACGGAATCGTGAATTGGATGTCGAGGCGCGGTCAAACGGGCGAAATGAGGGACTCGGATGGGCATGAGGGGTGGCTCTGTTTGCAAGTCTTGAGCACGCGCTTGGACGCGCGCGAAAGATGGCTGGCACGGTCGCGCCTTCCCCTCGTCTAGCGGCAAACCACGCGACGGGAGCCCGTGCACACTGCAGATGATCGGCCGTCATGTCGCGCATTCATCTTCACCGTCTGAACATGGAGGGCCCTGAACCTCCAAGGAACATGAGGACTCGACATCAACCAGAATATGGCCAACGATAGCAAGTCGCATGGGCTCTACTGCCAGAAATGCCGCACGCCCATAGATATCGATGCCTCGATTGACCAGCTCAATCCGGCTGCCTTCAAGCTGCTGACTGGTATGTCTACCTGTCTAAGAATCATCATGTTCCTGTATCTGACCACAACATAGACTCAACTGTTCCCGGCCAGCAAGCCTCCAAGTCCGCTCCTCCGCGCCAGTCACGCCCTACCTACCCCTCGTCAAGACACCAGACCTACGAGACTGCGATACAATCCGCGAGGAACCCTACCTTCAAGCGCAATGTACCGACTTCGAGATTCCAGCATGGCGCAGGGACTCAGAACCCAGCCATGTCCTTCGTTGATGTGCACATGTCCGAGTCTATGCTAGATCCACCGTCCCCAACACCAGTGCGTAGTCCCGAGCGACCAGTGCAAGCTGGAGAGAGACCCACGAATGAGGCCACGCGGAGAGCAAGCGTCACTGGAGGTTCAGGCACAGTAGGGGGAACCAGCATGGCAGATGGCTTAGAGACCACAAATCGCATGTTCGAGATCTTGTCATCACGCTCAGACATCGACCACCCGATATGTATCGAGTGTACAGAGCTGCTTGTAGACGGCCTGCAGCAGCGACTCGGCGTTGCGACACGAGAACGCGATGCCTACGTAGACTATCTCCGCCGCGCCAACACCGACGTGCCCAGCGCCGAAGAAGTCAAAGCGGCCGACACCGCGCTTAAAACTGCCAAGAAGACCGAGGCAGCAGCCATATCGAACCTCGAGAAGCTCGAGTCCGAGAAAGCAGAGCTGGATGCCCAACTTGCCGCTCTCGAAGCAGAAGCACGCCAACTCGACCAAGAAGAGAATGGTTTCTGGAAGGATAGGAATGCGTTCAACTCGACCTTGACAGAGTTCCAGAATGAGCGCGATGCTCTCACCACACGACATGCACACGACGCTCAAGTCCTGAATCAACTCCAACGCAGAAGCGTGTACAACGACACCTTCAACATCACCCACGACAACCACTTCGCCACCATCAACGGCCTCCGACTCGGCCGCTTACCGACACCCTACGTAGACTGGCCAGAAATCAACGCCGCCTGGGGCCAAACATGTCTGTTACTCGCCACACTCGCCGAGCGTCTGGGCTACAAATTCCAAGGCTACGAATTGCACCCCATGGGCTCAACATCCACCATTCTCAAAACTCGAAGTCAAGGGCAGCACCTCCGTCGCCGAGTCTCGCCAATCATCCACCACCGCCTCACCATCTGTTTCGCGCCAGCGCTTAGGAGCTGTATTCCTCTGGCGACTTCCCTATCAACTTTGGCTTCCTGCATCGCAAGTTCGACACCGCCATGGTCGCCTTTCTGGAATGTCTACGACAGCTTGGCGAGTTTGTGGAGAACCAGGGTATACATGCCGGCAGCAGTTTGAGCGTCGGCATGGGCGGGCCGGGCGTCAAGATGCCGTATGAGATACGCAAAGACCGGATTCACGACCAGAGCATCAAGTTGGCGCTGAATAAGGAAGAGAGCTGGACTAAGGCGTGCAAGTATACGTTGACGTGTTGCAAGTATTTGCTTGCGCATGCCAATAATGTGGAGAGTATGAAGACTAGGGGAGGAAGATGAAATGTTGATAGATAAGATACCCATTGATGATTTGTTCTACAACTTGTTGAGGCTTATCGTGTCTGTATTTGGCTGATCTAACACGTATTAACTAGCATGGTACGTCAATCAGTGGTTGCACTGTTATCTCAGAAGTACAATCCGGTGTTGATGGTGCCCTGCGACTCCGTATCGCTCTGTGTACAGTCTCGTGGCACAAGCAACTTACTTTTGACCTCACAGGTCGTCATCACTGATAAGCAGCCGTGGTCGGGATGGAAATACCTACCGTCACCGTCACCGTGGAATGTATGATGCGGCGTCTTATCTTGTCCCGCGACTCTCCCTATGGGATGCAAGAGAAAAGCTGGGAAGCCGGCATGTTGCTCAAGATAACAGACAGCTGTACCTGGAATGTCCCCTGGAAGCACACCGCAAGCCATGTGGTGGTAGAGGATCAACAGGATCTTTTTGTCCTATGCGGGAAAGCGGCTGTGGTGGCAGAGCACATACGTGTCCCCAGACGGCGAAATCCGACCTCGATACTGATGATTGCACACTTGCTCGACTCGCACGATAATTCGCTTCGGTGTTTCTAATCTGCATTGCCAACTGATCTTGTGATGCCCCTGGTGCACCGCATTGACCTCCCTGCACAGTCTCCGCCTCAGCTCCAGCTCGTCCGGTGCACTGCGGCACACCCCCAGCCGGGGGATCTCACGATCCTTGGCGGGCGAGGCGAAAAGGAGAAGGTCACGATGCTCGCTCGGTAGTGTTGAAGCGCCGAGCGCTAGTCAGACGTGTCAGATGTACAGCCTCGTGATCTGTTGGCAGAGGGTCAAAGCCGCAGACAACAAAGCCAGTAGCGTAAGGCGATCTAAGCCGAGCGGCAAGAATGGGTGAAGTCCGAGCATCTGGGTCGGTGGTAGCCGAAGCGGAATGCGTATCCCAGTGATTGATGCGCGCGATGGACGCTTGGAAGCTAATGAACCTTCCAATCCCAGGTTACCGCTTTTGCGGGGTAGCGTATTTGTTAGCTCATCAAAATCGAGAATACCCTGGCATGTCTGGGTAGGTTGGTGGTTGTAAGAGGCGCAGTCGTTGATATTGGGCTGATTACTGTGCTTGTATCTACGATTACCCGGAGACTGTGCAGCCCATCTCGTCCTGCGATGGTCGCTCTGTTTGGAGTCAGTAATTCCCAGCATATCATTTACTTTTTTTCCCTGAAAAAACTTTGCATAAACGCTCGACTCGCGTTTGAAGCTAAGGTAGCTCCCGCTTTAGAATTATGTGTGGAGAATAGAAGTTGCATGGCGGGGAAGTTAGAAAACGTAACAGATTACCGAAAAAGAGAAGTCGAAGACGACGATGGAAGGACTAAGCACGCGTTTATGCAGAAGACAAGAGACTCGTGTCAGGAGGGCTCAGAAGCATCGTGAAAACTCTGCACCGGGTCCACTCCCAAGCATTGGTTTCAACTTCGTGAATCCAGCCATGCAGCTATAGGATTCCATCACGAAGCTTTGAGATGCACAAAATGTTGCTCTGGGTGGTGAGAAGGGAGTAGCCGTGGGCTACGACATGATTCTCCGCTGTCCAGGGTTTCCATTGCAAGCGTCCGAGTCATTAGAGGTGAAGTGTACACATGGTACAGGATGGCATTGGGTGAGACGAATTATGGCGATATTTTGACGCAATCGAAGGTGCGAAACACAACGCCGATTGCGACAGAGCCATTTGCGGTCAGCAAGAGGTCCGGAGATAGCAGAACCCTCCATGGCTGCGGATGCAATGCTGCACGTCGTGCCTTCTGTGACAGGGCTTGGTGAAGTTTGGATGCGCCACGTCTCCGCACAGGCTATATCGAGCATCGTGAGATGATATGAAGTGCAGAGCTTGGGGACGCAGAACCAACGAGGCGACCAGGGCAGGCATGAACACGACTCCGGGAAGCGCAATGCCACCAGCTGGAAGGCACTGCCCTGGCACGAGGATGGTGAATGGTGGTCGAACGGTCTCGCTCGGAGGAATTGATGTGTCAAAAAAGGGTTCTCATTACCCCCTCGAAACGTGTTTGTGGAAGAGTCTAAGCATTTGTCTGGTCCGGTGACCATACGGTCACGTGCGTCCAGTCATTGCCAAGCTTCTTACATCACAGTAACTCGAGTTTTAGACAACCGAACCAGGCTCTTCGACGCCTCACCATCGCTCCAGCACAGACATGCAACCAAACTCTCGGCTTCTGATTGGCCTCCCTTGGTCATTCCCGGTGACGGAATGATCGTTTTTCTTAGCTCGCCTCCACTATGGCCCCGGTGTCCGTCGCGGACGCGTAGCTGCGGGAAGCTGGGGAAGCTCTTGACTCTTGACTAACAATGTACCACGGTGCTCTTTGTTCATTAAATCTCTGCAGCCACCATACATAGCTATAAGAAGCCCATTTGCACCTTCACATCATGACCTGACCATCTGACTAATCCAAAATACTTTCCCGCCTACGCTCCTAAAATCAACAGCTATCTGCGCCTGGTAGTCAACCACGGCCTACCCACGCGACTCCCATTCTAGACTAAGAGTCACCCTACCGTCCGATTAATTCAATGCACATCAACGACTTTCCCTACGAAGTCCTTTCAAAGATCCTTGAGGAAGTCACTCATGCCCATATACGCGATGGACCCACGTATACCTTCGGCCTGTCCCAAGCACCACTGCCGCTCCAGAGGGCTTCACTCCAGCGCTATGTGAGAGGGCCCGTCCCACCGGAGTTGCTCAAGTGGGATGCAACCTCCATGATCCGCTCCGTGTGCTGGAAGTGGCACGAGTGGGCATTGGGGCATTCCCTCAAGGATGTCTACATTCGCCGCTGGAAGGGCGGAGAGGTAAGCATAGCCGTTTAGATATTTATTGGCTTGAAACTGACGAGATACAGAGATGGGCAGAGCTCTCAAACAGGCGTGAGAGCTATCCGCTGTACGAGCTCATTGACCGTCCGACTGGCACCGCTGTTTACCGCGATCCCTTCGCGTCTCTGAAGCGAACCGTGAGCATTTGCAACGACTACCCTGAAGTCGCATCAAAGATCAGGCGCATGTGGGTCCATGGCTTCTACACCGCGGACACTGATCGCCTCGTCTTCGAGTCTCTGACCAACTGCACCAACCTCACATCCCTGTCAGTTCCATGGACCACGATCCGGCACCTGGACGCGAAGACATGGCGGGCCATGCTGACAGGCAGTGGTAAGCCTCTCGAGTCTTTGGAGCTTCAGTGCGTGGACCCTACTTCACAGCAAGCTGCCGACAAAGACAACCAAGTCGACCTAGAGCCACTCCAGTCTGCCAACTTCAGCAAGCTTCGTCGCCTGAAGATCTTTGGCGACACGAACTTCATGCCTGTCACCGATGCCGATCTCTACGCCATCGCTCGCACTGCAACTCAGCTGGAGGAGTTCCATCTGACCTGCAACTCTTCCATTACCATCGACGGTGTCATGGCGATCGTCAAGGCATCGCGCAAGACGCTCCGGGTCCTCGAGCACAGCCCGCGATCACAGGATGGTTTCTGGCACCCTCACCCAGGATCACCTAGCGACAGTGAGCACCTCTGCGAGACATTCCGAAGCTGTCCCAAGCTAGAGACGTTGTCTATTTCCCTCCCATCTGTGTGCGCACATCTTTTCTCTGATGACAACGTCAAGTTTAGCGGCGACTTGCAAGTGCGTGCCCTGCATCTCTGCGGGCATGAAGACGGCCGGTCCACCCAGGAGGCCACAGATGCTCTGGAGAAGTTGCTTCAACAGGCGCGTCGTCTTATTGATCTACGTGCACGAGGCACTATTCCTCGCGAGCTTTATGTCGAGCTCTTTTTCGCCGACTGTATTTTCGAGCCCGGCTTCCAGTCGGTTCATGGCGACTTTTCTTTGGCGCAGATCTCTTCCGATGGCACATGGCCTCACAACGTACACCAGAGCGGCAAGGGCCCATACGGCAGCACTGGCCTGTACGAGAAGGAAGAAGAGCGTCCTTTCCAACGCATTGAAGAGGACGAGTTTCTGCACGGTGTCCGCAGACGCATGCACTCTATTTCGACTTGATCGTGGATCGATCATCAACTCACGGCCGATTTTCTTTTCCTGTACGATTTTACACATCCTTCTACTCACGAATAACGGCCATTTGCATGAGCGAGCAGCCTGGAGCTAAGATACCCAGGCCATTGCGCCACATTCCGAGTCATGCATTGGGGAAAAAAGTCTGATGCCGAAGAAAAGGCTTTTTCTTATGAGCAGTTTGTTTGGGCGGGCATTTGCATAGGATGGCTGGTAGCCTCCTTGTAGTACTTCAAAGCATATAAGCGGTTCAATCACGGCATGCGTGCCAATGTATTAATTGATTCTTGACGTCCATTTATTGCATGAAGAGTAACTTTTCTCCTTTGAATGTGAGCAAGTAGTGTCGATTGGTGATGATGTCTCTGGGAATCTGGGATTGTATGAATCTGTTCAGTTGTCAAGTCAACGAAAGAAGCTTCTAGCAAATGCGAAGGATAGAATGCGACGAAGGAAAGTTCTGATGCAGCGCAGGACTTCTGAAGAAAGATATGGAGCTTGGCGATCAGCCCCACCGCTGCGTTCAGGCCAGTGCCAAACAGGACAAGTCTAAGGTACAGCATTTGCACGAGATCGAGCTTACACATCATCAGAAGAAAACGCCATCCCGGAAGCACCCTTCTACCGGAGACGTCTTATTCAGGCTTATTAAAGCCGCCGCCCACTGCGCAGCACGCAGGTGCGGAAGGTACACCGCGCTCTGAGACGCTGCTTACCGCCAAATGCGCGGAACGGGTGGAGAACCTGGTTGGTAAACTGGTTGGTGATGACTTACTTCAGCGTTGCATAATCGCAGAATGACGCTACTGCGCAGGGGTCTAGCACGAACCAAGTGGGGCAGAACTGTGGCAGAAGGCTGTTTGCGGTATCGGGTCGACTCGTTTGCACGGCTTCATGGAAAGTAGAAGCAGGTCGATACAGGCGCTTCGGCTCTATTGGCTCGGGAATGGATACCTGATGGCTAGGTCGAGAGAGTTCCTGAGGATCGGGCTGGGGAGCTGCTGCTGCGAGGCCGTTTATAAGAAGCTACCACCCCGCCCTTCAAAGCTCATCCCATTCACCATCATCTCCCTCTGCTGTTGAACTCCATTGTTTTTGTTGATACCCCAATTGTACTCCTAGCTCAATTCATTCAAGATGGCGCCCAAGATCGCAATCGTCTACTACTCCATGTACGGCCACATCAAGCAGATGGTATGTCGACAACTCCTCGCGCGTGCAACTGCGCCGCGCGACCACGCCGCAATCTGCTAACACTACAACTCCAGGCCGATGCTGAGTTGAAGGGCATCAAGGAGGCTGGCGGTGACGCTACCCTCTTCCAGATCCCCGAGACTCTCTCTGACGAAGTCCTCGGCAAGATGCACGCTCCCCCCAAGCCCACCGACGTGCCCACCCTCAACGACCCCGCCGAGCTCGAGGCTTTCGATGCTGTCCTCTTTGGCATTCCCACTCGCTACGGAAACTTCCCTGCCCAATTTAAAACTTTCTGGGACAAGACAGGTGGACAGTGGGCTCAGGGCTCTTACTGGGGCAAGTACGCTGGATTGTAAGCAGGCTCTAATACTCGAGATTCTATGCAGAGACACGGACTAATTCTGGGCAGGTTCATCTCCACCGGTACTCAGGGCGGAGGTCAGGAGAGCACTGCCATCGCTGCCATGTCTACCCTGACTCACCACGGCTTCATCTACGTTCCTCTCGGATACAAGACCGCGTTCTGTAAGCACCCTTCCATTTCCCACAAATATCTCACATACTAACATGTCCCAAGCCCTCCTGTCCAACCTCGAGGAGATCCACGGCGGCTCCCCCTGGGGCGCAGGCACCTTCTCCGGCGGCGACGGCTCCCGCCAGCCCTCCAAGCTCGAGCTCGACATCGCGACCGCTCAGGGCAAGGCCTTCTACGAGGCTGTTGCTAAGGCGCACCCGTGACTAGATGGCAGCGATAAGGAGAAGAAGACGGTGGTGACAGAAACAACACAAAACACAAATACAAACAATGCTTCAACGACGACTGCGGCGCCTGCTGCTGCGTCGTCGGGACCGCAAGAGAAGAAGAAGGATAGTGAGGGTCCTTGCGGTCTGCCTGCCAAGTGTGATATCATGTAGAATGTCCGCCTTGTTATGATAATGAAACAAATGTTAAATGGTACCAAACCTCTTCGCTGAAAATAAATTCCTTCTTTGCCTTTCTTTTTTCTTTTCGTATCATGCCTGTTACCCCAAACTTCTCCATCGATATCCATCTCGAATCTTCATATGCCAAGCTCACACCTGTATCGATCTGCGTCATACCGCACTTCCATCGGGCCTTTTTTTGCTCCCCACGACTCGCCTGCCGAACGTTTCGGCACGTCACCTGGATGATGTCTTGCAGCAGCGGGCCATGACGTGACCCGTAGTGCACACAGTAAGCTGATCCCCAAAGAACCCGCACATCGGTGGCATGTCGGAGACGGGGATTGGAATACTGATCGACACGCTGATGAGCCTGACGAGGAATTTTTTGACTTTTAACTGTTTTAATCGGGAGGAAAGTTTCTTGTTCACATATATCCAACTTCTTGTGTTGGCAGGGAAAAGGTGTGCGTGTCTTTAGCCTTTTGTAGGGATTTTCTTGGAAGAGATGGTTGGAGAACTTCATGGAGGGAATCGCAGCTTTATCTGTTAGTTTTCTTCTTTTCTTTGAGGTACTGTGGCTGTCTTGATGTATCAGGCTGACTCTGCGACTTGACCGCCAACCCTGTCATCAATCTGTTCGTGCTCTGATATTCGTCGTTAGTGAACATCAAGAAGTCACAAAGAGACACCATGGAAGCAAGGAATTCAGCAGTCAATCTCCTCCGAGATGTATCAATATTCCACCATGCAAATCCATGTTCAAGATTAACTCTATTATCGAAGAAAAAACGCATACGCAGGTTCAAAATTATTCTTCGCCAACGCACCGGCCCCCCGGATGCCAAATGATATCTCTTTCGTCAAGTCCAAGGAAAAAAGCAAAACAAAAATTCCAGTCGTATACCATTCCATCAAAACAAAAAACTCCAGGAGTCATGTCCATGCATTACCCGAGGGAAAATAGCCATACCAGATGTCCCGTATGATTAATTCCCGGCATATGCAATCCTAGGAAAAAAGAAAAGTCCATCTACAGCGCCATTGTCATACGACCAGGCCACCAAAGTCGACGCAGCGTCTCTCGCGCTCCGTGTCGCCGCACACGGCGCGATCGTGGCTGCTGAAGCCGTCGTCGTAGGCCCAGTCGGTCATCAAGTCGTCCCAATCCGGGTCTTGGAAGTTTTTGTATTGTGCGGTTCGTTCCGCCCAGCCTGTGCGGTCCAGCTCGATTATGCCACCGAATTTCTTTTCACCGTTCGCGATGAAGAGGGACTGTCCGTCTGGGGTAAATGAGATGCCAGCAATGGGGCCGAAGAAGTCAAAGACCTGCTTGGACTCAAACGTCTGCGCGTTGATGACGTTGATATAGTCATCTGCTTCGGCGGCGACGAGGACGCGCGGACCAGAGCCGACGGGCGAAAAGCGAAGAGAGCGGGGGATGCTCAATTGGCTAGCAATGTTCTTGATAGGCGTGGCCCAGTTCCGAGCATCCCATACAGTTATGGACGAATCCTGAGCTGCAGTGGCCACGTGGATGCCGTCGTCCGCCCAGGCACAGGCAAAGGCGTCTTCGTTATGCCCGTGGAGAATCTCGAACGGCTGGCCTGTCTCGGCGTTGGTGATGAGCGTTTCCTTGAAATCACCCACCACAACACGCATACGGCCGTTCGGACTGGTAGCCGAGCAGTTGACGGCTGCCGGGTAAAGGTAAGAATGTGTGAATTGATTAGTCGCACAATCGAGAACCCGCATGTGGTAGTCGTTAGAGCAGAGGACAGCCTGAGGAGTATATGTAGACCGTGATTCGCACAGGTGCATGTGGTTGACGATTCTCGACCTAGTTTCCAGGTTCAGGTCAGAGGTGCGCCCAAAAGTGCATGAACTGTCATGGGCAGATGACAGGTCAGCGATGGCGTATTCGCCATCGAAGGTACCGGCAATGAGGACGTTGCCAATGCTCGCAATGGTTGTGATGGAGGCCTGTGCTGAAAGTCGATTGCTGAAGTCGATGATCTTTTCGCGCACAGTGCCTTCGGCGTCGGTTCGGATGACTTGATTTTCACACGTGTAATAAATGTCGTTCCAAGATGTAGCTGTGAGTACATTACGCAGCTGGAAATGAGGGGATGTGGCGCGCTCCTTCTCCGGAATAGCGTTATATCTTCTGAATTGGAAAAAATTGTCAGAGTTGGATATACGAGTTGCCTTGTAGTGTGTTAGCTGTGCAGGTTGGCATGCCACGTCAACACAAACCTTTGGTGTCTGGTGAGGGCTCGGAGACAGTTGCGCAGATTGGTATGCGGCCCGCTTCGCGCGAACATGGGAGCGGGTGATGTTGCGTATAAACCAGTCAATTCCCTGTGGGTCAAGGCTGTCGCCCTGCAGCTGGTCCCGAGTGATGGATGGCGGCCTCTCGAGGAGATCGAGGCCGGGCACCGCGGGCTTTGCGGGTGCTATGCGGTGGAAGAAGGAGGCGATGGGGACGAAAGCTGCGCCGTCCTCGATGGAGAAGTGGTCCTCGACTATGGGAGTTAGCGGCTCCTGGATAGAGTCTGAGCTGGACGTGTAACCCGAAGAGGGTTGGGGGAAGGGCGCCTGTATGCTGGGTATGTGATAGGAGGGGACTGGTGGTAGTGGGAGCTCGGATTCGGTTGCCGGCTCGAATGGAGACTCGGCCATGAGAGACTGCTGCTGCTCGGCCACATCCTGCTCGGTCATGTGTGTGTCGGTCATGTGTGTGTCGGCCATGGCGCTGGCGGCCGTGTACTCGTGCAGGTCGGCGGGTGTTATCGATATACCCCCGCTATGGTCGTCATCGTCGTCGTCTTCATAGTCCTCGTAGCTAGCGGGCGGGCGGCCGTCTGCAAGCGTGGCCAGCGTCGTCGCCGCTGCGAGGGCCGTGAGCGAGGGCGGGTAGCCGGCGTCGGCGGGGTGCGAGAGAGTGTGGGTGAAGGAGACGGTGGTGACGTTGGGTGGCGCAAGGAAGAAGTGGTGGGCGTGGTGGTGGTGCTCGTCGAGTCCCGGCGCGTGCGGGCTGGCCATCGAAGGCCACGGCTGCTCACAAGCCAGCGAGGCACACGGGCAGGAGCGCCAAAACAGGCGCGCTGAGGGTGCCAGGTGCGAGGTGCGAGGTGCCAGGTGCCAGGTGCGAGGATGCGACGGGGTCAGGGTGCGAGCGTTGCGGAGAGCAGAGCAGAGGCGTTGCGGCGGTCTAATGGCTTGCACGGCGTGGGGGGAAGCTGCAACTTAGCCAACGCGAACATGCGCTCGGTGCATGCGGGTCACGAGCGGCGCAGGAGACGGCACGCTATTTTGAATGATGCGACCCAGTTCCTCCTTTCTCGTGCGGATGGCCGCTTGGGGAATGTCGACTACTGTGGGGTGCGCGCGCAGCTGTCGAATGCACTGTCGAGGGGCTATTGGCTTGCGGGACAATTGGGCTGCAGGGCAGTGTCAGCACACAGCACACATGGCACTACGAAGTATTGGCAGGCGACTCCGTGTCGGATGAGCTGCTGAGCGGACGGCATATGCAATGCACAAACCACCAAGCTCTCAGGCACTCGCGCTCCCCTCGTCTAGGAATGCGACCTTGTAGAGCCTGCGATATATGACCATGACCCACCCATTAGCAACCATGCATCACTGTGTTGCTGCTGCTGCTGTACCGCGGCCTGTCTAGACTCTGACTGTGCCGTGTACAATGGGCACGTCCACCAAACCCAGCGATCCTCTCATCTGTGTGAGTCTGGCTGTCTCTGCAATGGCCAACTCCACGCTGTGACCCGTGCATGTGCTGCCAGCCGTCAAGCCCCAGCGGCCCAGCACAGACAGCTATTCGTACCACCATGTGAAGGCGGGGCGTGCTACAAGCTCACGAGGTTTGCCAACACGACAACGTTCAAGAGCCAAGCCGACGAAGAGAATGCAGTGCGCCCAGAACGGGTCGCACACAAGGTGTCAGGCCCGTTTCGGACGCAGCACAGCGTACAGCCTCGCTTCCTGACGCTGCCGACGGTTACACGCTCACGTCGTGTACCAAATCAACCCTCTCCTCGCAGCAGGCCCTCCCTGCCCCGTCGCTCAAATGCCGTTTCCGTCTCTCCTCGCCGTCCACAATTTACAACCCCGCTGGCACCAGCCCTCGTGCTACCAGACCGTGCTGCTGAACATGCACCAAGACAATGCCCACAGGAGACGAAACACTGCAGCCCACCAACACGTCCAATCACACCGGCATCGATCTGCCGTAAGAATGAATTACTACAACGCTTCACCGAGAAGCTTTCGCCGTCTATCATGGAGCCCCAACAATAAAATTATATACCACGAGAAGGACTCCAGAACCCCAGCAATGCATTACGAGACATGTGGTACAATATGCAACTTAGCTCGCCACCTAGACAGCACACCGGCTTCTGCTCCAACGCGGCGCCACAATGCAAAATCAATTGTCGTAGTATGGGTCGTATCCTTGCTGCTGCTGCGGCCACCCGCCCGTCGACGACGGCTGCTGCTGCTGCTGCGAATAAGCCCCACCCGGTGCCTTCAGTCTTCGTTCTATTGGGCCGGATGTTAGTGACGACACTATCGAGAGAAGTCGTGTACCTTACCTGCTTCAAAGTCGTGCCAGCGCCGCATGGTGATCTTGCTGCTATCGAACTCGCCCTCGTACTCCAACCCTGCTTTCTTCGTCTTCTCGCCCGCCGTCTTACGTGTGTCGCCCCAAGAGAAGTCGTCAAACTTCCAGAAAGCATACGTTGGGAGTACAAAATTCCAAATGGGAAGTGACAGTAGGTAAACAAACATCCAAGCAACGTAAGACCATCGGTGAGCTGTCACGACAATAAGAATTGCTGGGAGACCCAAAATCATCGCAAGAAGAATAAGTGGAATGACGGGAGCCGCTGTGTTCAGGACAGCAGCCTTGATCGAGATGGCAACTGGGTCTAGTTAGTACTGGTCTGCCGCGATCAAACGAAAAGGGGGCTTACTCAGGTAGAAGGTGAAGGCGATGGCGGCTGGGAGGACCAGGGTTCCGATGAGCTCAATGAACACGACAAACTGCATGCTGAAGCAGAAGGTGCCACACAAGTCGCGTACTAGTACCAGCTCCATCAAATTGTGGATCGTACTATTGATCCATCGCCTTCGCTGCGAAAGGAGGACCTTGAATTCGTCGGGTACTGTGGTTTTGCAGACGGCTTGGGGGACAAAGACCTGCTTGCGCTTGGGGAATGTCTTGAGCATGAGCGTCGAAAGGTATCGATCTTCACCCAACAGCAGCAAGTTCTTCTTGTGCAACGTGTCGACCACATTTTCCGAGTAGTGCTCGACAACGTCCGGATTGGCAAGGATTGGGACCCAGTAGTTCTGACCGCCCTTCGGGGCTTTGATGCGGTACATGCAGAAACATCCAGGCAGACAGGTAACACCACCGAACACCGACTCGAAAGACTTGGCCAAGTGGTGAGAAATGAAGTATCTAATGCAGTCAGTGGCGCCATCGTCAAACGTGGAACAAAACTTACTCAAACACTTGGCCTCATGGATACCCAAGAGTCGCGAAATTGTTGGCAATCTTGGTTTCTCCACAGAGACCCATGATGTACGGGATCCTTGACCATGGCGGCAAATCCTTCTGTGTCCAAGCTTGTCGAGGAAGACCTTTCGTGTCCGGCGTCCCACCATGAGCACAATCTCGTAAAAGTCGGAAGAGATACCAGTGATTTTCCAGATACCGTTTAAACATTTCGAATTCCCAGCTCTGTCATGCGCTCGTCGAACATGACCTTTTGGAGAAAAGACATGAGGATGATCTGACTGTCTCGCTTTCCACGGTTACCGGGGCTTGGACTTGTGCGCCTCGTCTGGTGTGCCGCATTTGACCACGACCATCATCGGAACACGTTGCTGCTTGTCGACTGGGATGCGCGAGTCCTCGCCGTAATCGTAGAAACCGGAGTAGATCTTAGCCATGTTGTGTCGCTTGGTAACCACTGGCAACAGCCACGTAAGAGAAAGCCTGAACCTCGTGGGGAAGAACTGCGTGGTCCTTCATCATAGCAAGACAGATCTCGGGCGTAGACAAGTCCTCGCCTTTACCCTTGATAATACCGTCACAAATGACCAAAATCAATTTGTGGCTGTTCGGGTAGTCGGTGGTAGCAATAGAGTCAATTGTGGTCCTGATGCCGTCGGCACCCTCAGAGTAGGCCGTAACCAAGCAAATGGAGTGGGCTAGGGGATATCCAAAAGGCTGCCACTCGGGGGGAGGCTGAGGCACAACGGCCTCGTGGATGAAGCCAGCTGGTCCGGGGCCTTCCTCGCTCATCATGCCTGAGTATCGGTTGTCGGTGCTGCCAGGGATAAGCAAGCTCGTCCTAGATTCTTGCACAGATTGCTGCATCGAGTGCTTGCCATCGTAGGTGGGTAGTGTGCCATGGCTGTTGTTTAACTGGCGATAGACACCAGCGTTGGACGAAAGGCCCCGGGAATTGGTGCTTTGGCTGGTCATAGTCGTAGGAGCTGCTCGGGTCTTTGTCGACTTGTCCACGGAGTAAGGGCTGGTGAATCGCGAGGTTGACGGCAGGAAGGTACTACCTCGCTTGCTCGATCGGTCAGGGCCGCCAGATGCGTCACTCAGCTTTGGGGGAGGACGATAGATATCATCACTCCACTCCTCGATCTGCTGCTTTCGCTGCTTCGAGTCCGCCTTGCCGACGGACGTCTTAGTGGCACCGAATTGCTTGCTGATGAACCATTGGAAGGCCAAGGCGAGAATGAATTTGGCCACAACGACCGCCAAGATGAAGACCAGCGAGACGTACAAGACAACTTTGGAAGCAATGCAACCAATGCTCTCTGTGTCGATGGACCCAACCTTGATGATTTCAGTGAAGCATCGAGCAACCTGCTTTTCATAACTCGAAGAGTAGGTGCGCGTGACGTCCACGCCCCGGACAGCTGGGTTGACCTTGATCTGATCGAAGATGGGTGGGATGTTGACTTGGGTCCTGTTGAAGTGGTCGAGTAGGTTCAGGTCCAGAACATCGCCACCCCAAACCATCAGATTGCGGGAACTGTTGCGAATGTCGTCCCAAGTGAAGAAGACATCTCTCCGGCATCTTGCAAGCTGTTGAACGCCTTGCGAGCGGGGTCCGAGGTGTGGCACATGTAGCCATTGTATTCAAGGAAAGTAGTGTTGGGCTTGCTGGAACCGTCCTGGTTGAAAAATCGGCAAGGGAAGTACCAGGCCATGCTGTTGCCACTGGTTGGTATGCCCGAGTTCTCCTTGGGTGTGATGAGACCCTTGCACGCGCCATTGACATTCTGGAACAAGAAACTGGCATCTTGGCCGCCGTGCTTCTCAGGGAGATCGAAGAGTACGTTGGCGCCAGACGGGATGCCGCGAGCGGGAGGGTGCTTGGACTGGGCAAGATTGTAAGCCTTGCCGTGCACGATCAAGGTGCCGTTGTCAACCTTGTTGACGCGCATACGGGCGTTGCCGCCAGATGGGCACACAGTCTCGGTGAAACCGAACGTGAGATATCCAACGAATGTGCAGATCATCATAATGATGCTCACGAGTCCGACCTTCTCTCTCCAGGCGCGCTGTTGGGCCTTGGCAGGCTTTCCAAAGCACCTCAGGAGGGCATCCGGACACCAGAAGGTAATAATGGCACAGTAGACGTTCCAGAAACTCGGGGGCCGCAGCTTGTCCTTCTCCTTCTGCCGCTGGATCTCGCGAGCCTCGGCCGTCTTGCTGCGGGTCATGCGGCGCTGCAGCTTTTCGTCGTCGAGGGGCGCCTGCTTGTCGTGGTATCCGCCACCTGAGGCATTGCGCAGGTGCGAGGGCTTCAAGTCGGTGCTGTCGGAGCTGACCGTCTCATTCTCGAGGCTGTCTTCGATGATGGGGTCGTTGCCGGTGGTCGAGGGTTTTACGGCCATTCGCTGGGCATGCTTGCTGTAGTGATAGTTGGGGTGGCTAGGGTCCATCCGCTGGCGCTCGGGACGGATCAGACTACGCTTCCTGCCCAGCTCGTGAGCGGGCGTGGTGTTCGCGGAGCGCATGATGGGGTCTCGCTCCATGGGCACGGGTGTGCCGGGCGAGGGGAGTGCTCGCGCGTATTCGTTGGCGCCGCTCTTGCTGTTGGAGCGGTCGTGGGTGCGCGTGTTCTCGAGGTCCGACGTCCTACGGCGGCGCGAGCTCGACTCTCGGAAGACATGGCGGTTGTCTCGGCTCCCTCGCGAGGAGTCGTCGGGTCGCCGGGGAAGAGACATTGTGATGCGAGGAATGCGAGAAATGCAGCCAGTTGGCGTGGTACAGGCAGACCACGGGGGGCTGTCTAAGCCCTAAAGAATAGACGTCGCAGCTCCTGTGTAGCTGCTGTGCCGCACGTGCGGTTCGCTGCAACAGGTTCCGGGTGCGGGCAGCTTGATGCGAGCGATCAATTGGTGTTTATGGGGGGGCAAACAGACGCGGCCAAGGTGCGCAGGCGTGGTTTCCCTTTGTGTTTCAGCGAGCGGCAGCCGAGTTGGGCTGGAACGAACGAGCGTGCGGGAAACAACGATCGTGGTGGAGAGCTGCACAAACGAGTGGCAGGGAAAACAGCAGATCTGAGAGCTGGACAGAACAGGCCGTGCCGTTGTTGCGAGGTCAACGAAAGGTCCGATAGCCTCGAGTGATGGGGCGGCAACTTGCCCCTTGCCAGCCCGGTGGTGCCAGGCGACTACACCCATCCGCGAATTATGGCGGGCCTCCTGAGCTATTTTCATCCACTTCCCCAGCACTAGAGCCGAACAGGCTGGTACGTAGGGGCGCGCCGCCAGACAGAGTGAATATTTTCCAAGCCGACTGGTCTGGGCAGCCTATCTCGATAGTCTGGCTGGCTACATGTGGACGAAGTCATGTTGAAGAAGTCGCCGGATCGAGCTCGTTCTTGCAACCGCCGTCGTGGCACTGAGATCCTCGGGACTGGGTCTTTACCATGTACCTCGAGCTTGTCTCCGCTGTCCGCCCCTGCAGTAGAAAACGCGACGATGCGGCTAGACGCACTTCGCGCATGGCTTCCCACGGAATAAGGCGATCGGCGAGTGGCACCCGAGAGGGGTCCAAAGCAGACTACGATAGACTCATTCGTATTTGAAAGCGCTAAAATAACAGCATTGGTATCACATGAATCTTGCAAATGGAAGGTGACGGTGTGAAGGTTTGTCCGGATTCTCCATGTGTGCAATATGTCCTAAACTCCGTGCCGACCGCCTGTATATTTTCCGTTCGCGAAATCCTTCATCCTGGCGCGGCCCCCTTGACCATCGTCATTTCGTCTGCCCGTTGGCTAAGACATTGTCGAAACATTCGCACAGGATGCGCGTATTGGCAAGGCATGTGGAGGACCGTCGTTCGCTATTGGTACGCTGAGCGGTAGGCAATGCGCATGGTAGCAGCATCGTGGCCCCGATACGTGCATGTACTCCTCGAGCGCTTGACAAATGCTTTATTGGGGACGAGCTGTTTGCATCCTTCGTTTTTGGCGTGTCGAACACGCGCGGGGCTGTGTAGTAGTCATCCTCCAATTTGGCTGCCTATCGTACATCACCGTTACTGCGTTGGAGCAATGAGTTAGTGGTAGTGTTGACATGGACAAGGCAAGTTTGACAGACAGGCATGTAGCAAGGGCCCATAGCAACCAGGTCTTGAAGCTCCACAGCTGCGGTCATCTTGAACGAACTGCAGGGCCGCTCCACCACGGCCCACGGCTAAAGGGCGCTCGGCCAGTGTGATGTTATGTTCACCGTGTCGGCCAGTTAGCACACCAGCTTCAGCTGTGTGAGTGCAAATGATGAAACTAGGAGGCTTGCATTCCTGACACCACCAATGGCATAATGCAGACTCGGCAGCCAATCCCAGCCGTAGTCCATTCCAAGCATTATTGCAGCAGTTTGCGAGCGATGACGGAAGACCAGCACTTCCTCTTGCCGGGCACATGATGTTTGAGTGCGCTAGAAACCTGGCTCCCCGGTTGTGCCTGTCTCAAACACGAAGCTCAGCCCAATCCGCCCAGGGCATTCAAATACCAATCCACGGCCCTCTGTCACCGGCCTGAGGCCTTTTTACTCCCAATTCCTGGCCCATTTTGCTGCTACACCCGTCGACTCGGTCAATATTTTGAGCCGCAATTACGACCATTGGACCCCTAGGCCCTGTCCGATCGAGCCGAGTCAGCGATCACCACCTCCCGTTCGGTCACACAGACTCTAGCTGCTTAGCATCCGACGCCGCCTATTTGCCTTCGCTAGTACGCACAGAAAAGGCGGGACTTGCATCCGTGGGGCGGCCCTTTGTAGTCGACTTGTGCCGCGTGCTTTGTTGCGCGAGCCTTTGCGCAATTGCCTCTGTTTCTTGACCATCTTCAATACTGTTTGTGCAGGACGCAGCGGACGAAAGTAAGCCAGTCGCCTACAGTCATAGCCGACCCTGGCTTACCGCGACTACTAGGCTGTAAGTGTATATCCCCCGGGCCCGCCAGACGATCTACAGGGTTCACAATCCTACATAACGACGCCGCTTCGCAAGACATGTAGCATTCACACTGTGCCGAGCACACTAACATGCAGTAGGATTCGCAAGGAGCTCTGCAGCGTGTCACTACTGCTTATGCTGACAGCTGTCTCTTCCTTTGCACCACACCTGCGAGGTCCCGTCACTCTGTCAAGCGGAGAGACGGAGGATATACTTCCACTGCACCTGCAACAATCTTCCCAGCATTGCCAGATCTCTTCATAATGGCAGACACCGCCCCGGCACCACCACCCCACAGGGCCCTGCCGCCACTTCCGCCTGCCGAGCAGGACAATTCGAACCACTCCGAGCGCTCCAGTGGCTCCGTTCGCCGTAAACCCGTGTTGGGTGTTGCACAACAGCCTCCAATCCCTTCGTTCAGCATAAACGAGCACGAGGACACGGGCGCCGGGGGTCGCGACTCGAGACTGTCTGAGTCGTCTTTTTCTCCGAGCTCTGCAGGCCATTCGAGAACACCATCGCGGGAGACCCCAGACATTGGCAACAATAGGGACTCGGGCACCTCGCTACCAGTAACGAAGGATATTCCAATTCGACAGCTGCACATTAACGACGGGTCATATCGAAGTCGGTACTCGCATGCTGGCGAGTTGGATATCGCAAACATGGAAGACGACCCTGATTCTGCGTACACTCCTCGGGAGCAGTATCGGCCGGAGCAGTACAAGCAGCCGACGCCACCACCCATGGCACACTCACCGCGAGATTCTCCAGGTGCGGACTCGCCGAACTCTATGAATGAAAACGGCAGTCGCAACACATTTAACTTTGGGCCTGACGTCCCACTACAGGTACCCCGCAGTACCCTGCCGAGACCGAATTCAGCATACACTCTGGGTGCGGAACTGAGTCCACGAGGTTACACACAGTCCCCACGCCTATCTGTGGGCGGCTCTCCTGCCTCCAATGGATCGCCCAGACAGGTTTCCGGAAGCCGACGCTCCCCTGACCTGAGACCAATCTCGTACATCGATCTAGTCAATCTGCCCTACAACCAGCAGATTGCTCCAGCTGCAAATCTAAGCAATGCGCAACTGCGAACTGCCGTGGGCCAAAATGCCTCGCTTCTTGACACAAAGAAGACCCTGGACATGTACAGGGCGAATGTTAAGAAAACCCAAGATAGTGCTGTGCAGTACGAATTTGCTTTGTTCATGGTACAGGTCGCACGCGATATCATGGCGGCGGGTTCCTCCACCGACGATCACAGACTGGCTCCGGCCGACATGCTTCGAGAGGCACGACAGATCCTACAGAAATTAGCCGACCGTAGCTATCCTTTCGCACAGTACTACCTTGCTGATGGTTACGCGTCAGGATTATTTAACAAGGACAAGCCGGACTACGACCGTGCTTTCCCACTTTTCATCGCTGCCAGCAAACACGGGCACGCAGAGTCTGGCTATCGCTCAGCTCTTTGTTACGAGTTTGGCTGGGGCTGTCGCAAAGACTACGCCAAAGCCGTTCAGTTCTATCGAGCTGCCGCATCGAAGAACCACCCAGGTGCCGCAATCAGATTAGGAAAGGCGTGTCTGACCGGAGATATGGGCCCTGCAGGGCAAATACAGAGAGGGTGTCAAATGGCTGAAACGCGCAACCGAGTCTGCCGACTTTCAGTACAACAGCGCACCCTATGAGCTAGGTCTCTTGCACGAGACTGGATATGGCGATGACATCTTCAAGGACGAGGTCTACGCCGTGCAGCTGTTCACACAAGCTGCAGAATTGGGGCATCCCTTGGCAGCATTGAAGCTGGGTGAAGCCTACGAACACGGACAATTATGCTGTCCAAAGGATGCTGCACTGTCTGTTCACTACTACAACACCGCTGCTCAAGCCGACATACCAGAAGCGATGATGAACCTCTGTGCCTGGTATATGGTGGGTGCCGAGCCTGTGCTAGAAAAGGATGAGAACGAGGCCTATGAGTGGGCGAAGAAGGCGGCAGAGCATGGTGAATACACTTTCTGCAGTTAATCGAACTATGCTGACAATCTCAGGACTACCAAAAGCTGAATATGCCTGTGGATACTTCACAGAAATGGGCATCGGTTGCCGCCGCGATCCACTCGAAGCCAATGTGTGGTACGTCAAGGCCGCCGATCACGGGGATGAACGAGCAAAACAGCGCCTTGCTATTATTCAAGCTGCGGCGTCAGGCCAGTCGCCTCTCTCTCCCACCAGCGCGAACGACAAAAACAAACTTAAGAAGGGGACTAAGGATGAGAACTGCATGGTTATGTGAGCAGTTTCTGTCTGAAAGAATTTCTTGTGTATCCCCAGCATCATCGTCATCCTCCTCCCGGCGTCTTTTACGACTGGTTCGATAATAGCATTAACATTGGGTTCTGCATAACGGGTCGATTTGCATATTTGTTGCATCAGAGGGCTTCAGCATGAGCGTCAAGATGTTCTCATGCGCTTGATACCAGCAGTTGCAGCTGTAGTCACGATATATAGATAGAAATGGATAATGTCTGTTTGAAGCGGTTGTTCGCGGCTTTTCTCATCCCCTCCATTGTACGAATGACCTCCTAAAATCGACACCGATTGGTCAGAGTACGGGCAACTATCGTCTTAAGTACGGTCAAACGACAGCACGGTTCTCTATTGCGGAAAACCAGATGAATTCAAGAAATCCATTTCAACATGCACAATTCTATGTCGTTGACCTGGGACACTTATCGTTGTAGATCTCATCTTATCAAACACATTGCTCTAATCGTCCCGACTGCGGCTGCAGTTCGGACTACGATCGTGTAGGGCGTATGGTAGGACAAGTCCATGCTAGTTCTCGCTTCAGAGAGGCATTCCTTGGAGCCGCTTGACCCGACCGTTGCTAGCCGCGACCGAAACGGCAAGCACGATGCTGCTCAATGCAACTGCTACATAGGTAGGGCGTGGTTGTGCCGGTAAACGTGACCAAAAATGATAAACTGTATTTAAACCAAGAACCATAGCATTATAAACGGCTTCAGATCTCAAGTCCCACTTCGCCTGCATCGACACTTCCATCCACAACCCAACACAAAGAGCTCACAAAGAGAGAAGATTGGAAGGATCTGTCTCCACTCCGCGGTTTCGCAATAACACCACGGACTGAATCGAAGCAGAATATGGCCCCACCCTCTGCTATTGAGGTCTCAGCCGAGACGGACACTTCTGGCATCACGATTCCCAACCCTTTGACTGCGCCAATCACAAGTAACGACATTTTCGGCAGGAGAAAGAAGGCACTTCAATCGCAATGGGGTATTGCTGCCGCGTCAGATACAGCAAACTTCCGACAGAAGTCCTATGAGAATAAGCCCAAGGCAAAGCGATGGGATCGTGAGTTCAGTCTCGTGGAATACATTCTGCACGGTGATTGCATCGCTGATACTTTGGTGCAGACATCTTGAGCCAGGAGGCTCTCATCCGGAAAGGTAACTCCCTGAAGGAAGCAGCAAAGTTTCTTGCAACGCCAGGTCTCATATCGCTCGGCGGTGGTCTGCCATCGAGCGAGTATTTTCCATTTGAGGAGCTGTCGATGAGGGTACCCCAGGTCGGCCATTTCTCGGAAGCAGAAACAAAAGAGTCGGGTGTGCTCATTAAAGCTGGCAAACATGATCTCGCGGATGGGAAATCAATTTTCGACATTGCCACTGCATTTAATTATGGGCAAGGAGCTGGGTCGGCTCAGCTTCTGCGATGGATGACTGAGCACACAGAACTGGTTCATAACCCCCCATATGAGGATTGGAGATGCTGCATGAGCATCGGTAGTACTTCTGCTCTGGACATGGCATTACGCATGTTCGCGCGGCCTGGAGACGTGGTGCTTTCCGAGGAGTACACATTCTCCGCCTTTGTGGAGACAGCTCGCCCAATGGGTGTACGTGTCTGTGGTATCCCCCTCGATGCCGAAGGCCTGATCCCAGAGCAACTCGACAATATACTCTCAACCTGGGACGTCAACGTCCGGGGAGCTCGACGCCCACATCTCCTCTACACAGTTCCCACCGGCCAGAATCCAACCGGTGCTACGCAGAGCGCCGAGCGTCGACGAGCTCTTTACGCCGTATGCCAAAAGCACGACATCTACATCATCGAGGACGAGCCATACTACTTCCTCCAAATGCAACCCTACACCGGCCCCAACGCCCCCGTCGTCCCGCCTCCTTCCTCCCACGACGAATTCCTCAATTCTCTCGTCCCCAGTTATCTCTCCATGGACGTCGACGGCCGCGTCATGCGCCTCGACTCCTTCTCGAAAGTAGTATCGCCCGGCGCGCGTATCGGCTGGGTCACAGCTTGCGCCGAGATTGTGGAAAAATACACCAAGCACGCAGACGTCAGCACGCAAAACCCGTCTGGCATGTCTCAACTTATTCTGTTCAAGCTGCTCGAAGACCACTGGGGCCACGCGGGCTATCTCGACTGGCTCATCCATATCCGCATGCAATACACCAAGCGGCGGGACGTCATCCTACAAGCCTGCACCAAGTATCTCCCGACGGAAGTCATGAGCTGGAAACCGCCCATGGCGGGAATGTTCCATTGGATGCAGATTGACTTCAAGAAGCATCCGCAGTATCCTGAGAAGAGCATTGAAGAGATCGAAGAGAGCATTTTCTACAGGAATATTGAACATGGGACGATGTGCATGAGGGGGAGTTGGTTCTATGCGGATGCGGACGAGGAGCATGATACGCTGTTTTTCAGGGCGACGTACGCGGCTAGTCCGGAGGATAAGATGGAGGAGGGGATTAGGCGACTTGGGGAGAGTGTGAGGGAGGAGTTTGGGTTGGGGAAGAAGTGAAGGAGATGAAATGAAGGTTGTGGGTTTGATAGTTGTACTCCATTGCGCGGAATCGGCTATACATGATCAATCCACAACCAAATTCCGAGCATTTTGATTCTGGTACCCTAAGACCGGTCTATGCAATCTTTTGTGCTCGCCAGACGCCCGCAATACCTAGTTCTACATCTGAATGATTTCGCTCCCCGGTCTTCCTCGTCTGTCTTGTTGTACGCGCGAAAACCCGCCCCGCTCAGTTGATGAAGTTGACGCAAAAGAAATGCAGCAATAACGACCCGAGCACGAAATCCGCAAACGCGCGCTCATGCGAAATGCTCTCAAAGTCGGCCTTGTTCTCCGGGTTGGTCTGGATGCGCAGCGAGGCAGTGAGGACGAATTGGCCGACGGTGGCGCTGAAGCCCGAGAGGAAGGCATTGAAGGGCTAGACGTAACTAGATCAGCACGTGTCTTTTTCTGCATACTTGCAAGAGGCAATCGTGGTGGGTGAGTGTCTGGACGTACAAAGTTTCCAACCAGAACCACGTAGAAGAATTGCAACGCGCCCACGACAATCAGGAACGCCATGAATGTGTCAAGCAACTTGACGCGCTGCGGCGTCTTGGTCACGTATTTGTTCCATATTCCCTGCAGAATGTCCTGTGCACTGCCGCTGCTCGCGGGCTTGGATGATCGCGCTGGCGTCGAGGGAGTTGTTGTGGTGGTTTGGGGGGCCGTGGAGGCGGGCGTGCGCTGCTTGGGAGCCATTGTGATATTCGAGGTAGGAAGCGGGTAATGAGTGTGGTTGCAGTAAGCAACTCGTGTTTCTGGTGTTGAATTGGAGCTTCGCGGAGCTTGAGGCCAGATGTTCTGCGGCCGTGCGTGCGCGCGTCGGCGTTCGGCGTTTATGGGATGACGGAGAGCGCTGGAGCTCTCCCCGCAAATAATAAGCATCGCATCATCTGGGAGCTTCTGGACGGAAGCACTTCGATCCTCGGCTTGTGAATTGTTCTTATTCTCCCTTGGTATCGTGCAGCAGACAATCGTCTTCACTCGTCTTCAATCTCACAGTTCAGATACAAAGTAGAAATGGTAAGTGAGCCATGATATCACGTCATGCTTCACAGGCCCATGTTCCTGAAGCTGGTCACGTTGTCGCATATCAACACCCAAAAGCTAACACTTCACTCAGGGTTCCATCGCCCATATCGCCCTCATCCTCGGTGCCCTCACCGCAGCGGAGGCATAACCGGCTACGTCCGAACCGGCTCCCTGCCCTCAGTCATAGCAGTGTGACCGTCGGCGCACTGGTAAGCCCATCTCCCCATAATATGCTCCAACAGCTAATCGAACTCCAGTACATCATTGGAGGTCTGCGCATCTCCAACCGTTCTACCTACGGAACCGAAGCTCGCGCTACTTGCGTCAGTCATCCTTGCCGGAAGCTCAATTCCTCGCGCGATCAAGAGCGGAAAGCCACTTCCTATCGGCTTGAGCGTGCTGGCGACGTTCGGGCTCTGGACTTTTGGAAATGCGTTTGTGAATCGCCAACGAACTGTTTGAAAATAAGTGCAAAATTTACGCGCAAAAGAGCAAGACATGCGATATGTAAACTATGTAATGGAGGAATCGATAATTTACACCATCGTGTAGCTCGACCATATTTGCCTGTTGTCTACTGACTGCTTGGTTTCTGACAACTTCTCTGATTCATAGCCCAGTCTCCAGGATTGGAACCATGTATCGACAATATTGCTCTGTGAAAGGGCTCGGGCTTCTATGATACGAAAGCTTCCACAGACTATGGCGACACCTGATGGCACAGCAATATAAGTCCCATGTGCCACTGTGGCACGTTCTGTCTATCAAGTTGCATATGCAGCAGATCTACGGATAATCCTAGAGATCCGAAGAATGTTCCTTGTAGCTCTAACAGGACCCCACAGAAAGTCTCCGAGCCAGAATTGACAAGGTATGTAGTCGCTTACTTTCTTCGAGCTGATTCTAATCTTAATCCAGGTTCAATGTAGCAGAGTCCCAGCACAATAATCCATTCCCCGGGCGCATACTCAGAACCCATGAGCATACAAACGTCTTGCAGTACTTTTCGTGACCTGGTTTATGACTTCGATTCAGGAGTCAGATACAAGAATCTTGCTGCCCCACAATCTTTCCATCCAAGGTTGAGCGGCACATCGTGGAGGCACTATCCGTTAAACGACGTCTATGCACGAACAGGGTATATTAGCCTTCACATGGCATGCTTCGCCTATCAACTGCCGTCCTTGCCCAGCATCCAAACACTCCTTGAGTGTTTTCTGTGAGACTCTCAGTACAAATGCTGGGTGGTGTCGTCAACGAATCCGGGTTAGCACACAGCTTGTGGCCATCAAATTTGATGGATTTGACGTTACTATGGCGCAGCCAAGCATATGCGTAAGGAAAAGAGTCCAATTAGACATTCAAGCTCACTATTCCATGACGATTGAAGCCTATCATCATTGGCCTCTCACCCTGGGAGGCCACGAGGATCCCGTACGCGTGTTGACCCGCCGCAGATTACAATTCCAAATGCACAGGCTGGCCAGTCGAGTCCAAACCTCCATATTCTTCTCCATCATTTTCATCTATGGCATACAAGGCATATGAAGTAGATATTGATGAGTGACAAGATCGAAGCATGTCGCGGTAGGGGTCCTTGTAGCCAGCAATCGCGCTGTGGCTATTCAGATCGGCCACATAAAGAAGTGATAGTGTACCATCTGCATCGGTAACCAGGTTGACTTTGTTTCTGCAAATCTCCGATACCCAGAATGCGTTACTCCCAAGTTTTGAGCAGTGCTGTCGCACTCGCCGGATATGGTAAGCAACCCATATTTCATCAGTCGCTTCTGCTAACAGACATTCAGCTGTCGCTCAAGAAGGTGAGGTTCAATCTAAAGTTGTCTGCGATGCGGATACGAAGATTTGCTATTCCTCCTACTCGGATGCGGAATCTGGAATGACCTTTGGTATCGCCTTACCCAAGAACGTTACGGATCCCTACGATGCAGTCATCAAGATCACCGCTCCTATCGCAAACACTTGGGCCGGCTTTTCTTGGGGTGGAAACATGGTCTGGAACCCACTCAGTGTCGCCTGGCCGAATGGGAAATCTGGAACTATATCAGCCCGATTTGCTTTGTAGGTAATTCAGAACAAGCTTGCTATGCCCTTGCTCACGCTACGCAGCTCTATAGGACTACCGCTAGGGTACGATGGAGCTGAACACACATATCTCAAAGGCACAACTACGAACAGTACGCATTGGACTGTCAACGCACTATGTAAAGGATGTACTGGTTGGCAAAATAATGAGGATACCCGACAAGCACTCAATGGAACCGGAACGACACAATTCGCTTGGGCATATGGCGTCTCCCAAGTAGAAGATTCCACTCGAAACGACTCAGCCTTCAATGTCCACCAAGCATGGGGAAAATGGACTCATGATCTGGGAGCTGCGCGCATTGATAATTTCGATTCATTGGTCAAGACCAATCTGCTAACAGCACCTGCAGTCCCCGCAGCGCCATCCACGATCGTGACAAGCGTCGTGACTACTCCCACTACGAAGCCACTTGCGGCTGCCATTCCAGCTTCTTGCTCGGGCGCTGGAAGCCCTGCATTTACTGGTAGCCTTGCCTCCGGATGGAAGGCGACTAAAGTCGCGGGTGGTTTGACAAGCCCACGCAGCATACAGTTCGACAGCGCTGGTAACATGTTGGTCGTTCAGTCTGGAAAGGGCATCTCATACCACAAGATGGGCACGGATGGCTGCGTCGCTTCGACCAAGATGCTCCTCTCCCAGAATAACCTGAACCATGGTATTGCCATGAGTCCTGATGGCAAGACGTTGTATGCCAGCTCCATGACCCAGGCTTACTCATGGCCTTATGATGCTGCTGCTGGCACTGTTGGTACCCGAGCGACCATCATCACGGGCATGTACAATGGAGGCTCCCACTTGACACGTACATTGGCCATCGCGCCACAATCCCCAAACTTGCTCGTAGTATCACATGGCTCCAACGCCAACATCGACACGGCCACCGGTGACTCAAAGACTGGTCGTGCCATCATCAAAGTCTTCGACCTGAAAGCAGTACCCAGCGGTGGGTACAACTACGTCTCTGGTGGCTACCTTGCTGGTTATGGACAGCGCAATGAGGTCGGTATGTGCTTTGACAAAAACAACATGTAAGTCCCACATCATGCTATAATTAAACTCTAACATGTTAACCGTCTGCTAGGCTCTGGGGTGTCGAAAACAGCGGCGATGATTTCAAGCGCACAGTGAACGGCCAGGCCAAAGACATCCACCAAAACAACCCAGGTGAGAAGATCCACTACATCGGCGACGTCACCAAGCCCAACAACAATTGGTACGGCTATCCATCTTGCTTCACCGTGTGGCAACCCTCGGACTTCACCGACAAGACTTTTAAGGTCGGCGACTTCTTCGTTCCGTCCCCCAACACCACCTTCAACGACGACACGTGCAACCAAAAGGCCGTCGCTCCCAAGATGACACTGTTCCCTCACTCCGCACCCATCGACTGCAAGTTCGACGCAGATTCTAGCACCATGTATATCACGTACCACGGCTCTTGGAACCGCTCACCTGTTACGGGCTTCAAGCTTGTCGCAGTCAGCTTCAAGCTTGGTGCTGATGGACTGTACACGCCAACTGAACCGATCACGAGCACGACTGCAGCCAAGGATATCTTCTACAACCCCAGGGTTGAGAGCTGCCAGGGTAACGGACCGAGCTTTAGCTCCGGATGCTTCAGGCCTGCGGGGCTGGGGTGGGACTCGCAGGGTAGATTGTACATGACCAGTGATACGTCGAGCAATGGTGAGCTTTGGGTGTTGGGCAAGTCGTAGATGTATTCTCGTTGAATTGGAGGTGAGAGTACGGCTTTGGACTTGGTGTATATACAGTGGGATATCAAGACACTCGCTTATTATCATGGTGAGCCACTTTCTCGCTTGCTGCATGGGATAAAAGGTGCTTTCCGTGAGCCGATTTCCTTCACCTTGCCTCGTACATCTCAGACGTGCAGATCCACGTCTGCTCCCACCACGCCTGCATACCAAAACGTAACAATATTCGATGAACATCGATCGTGTGTGCAGAATAGTACATATCGTACAAGCTGCCTGCCTAGTCTTACAGTACACATCGAGACAAGAAGACCTCCGTTTCCATGGTCGACCTGTTGCTGCCACATGGAATTGGAGCATATCTCATCCCACTAGGTTCCCTCACCACGTCTGCCACGCTCGACCGCAACCTAGCGTATCGCATCTACTAACAGCTCTTTCCCGCGCTAGACAAGCACGAGCTTCTCGCCCTCTTCTATATAAAAGCCTCTTGTCTCTCCGCAGTTTCGCATTTGAACGACCTCAAACAGCGATTTCGAGCAGCGACCTAAACCATGAGCGACACTTCCGCCACCAGCATGGGATCCTCAGGCTCCAGCGACCACGAAGATTGCCCATTCCACGACGAGCCGCACCAAGGCCTCTGTTACGCAATCACAAATCAAGGCAATGCATGCAAGCACCTAGCCAAGATCTATGAGTCCGGACTTCTTCCAGTCTGTACGAGGCACAACTACGCTGCAGACGACTATAAGAACTCCAGAGCCGAGCTGCGAGCTGGGCTGTGTCAAGCTATTTCAGAATGCGGCCACACCTGCAACCGACTAGCAAATTACTCCAACCCATACCACTTTTGTGGGTACCACTCGAACGGCTCCATCCACTTGCCATGTCACATCATGCAACTCCCGACTGAGCTTCGGCTCATGGTATTTCGATATCTGTTTCCTGAAGAAGTCTCCAATTACAGGGACCACGGAGTCGAAGTGGCTATCCTCAAGGCAAACCGTCAAATCCATCAAGAAGCTTCGTCGGTGTTGTATGGCGAGTCTTACTTTGAGACCGAAGTTCATCCACATTCGATCAAACTGCAAGGCAAGCAGTGGAAACGCGACCCACCTGCTAAGTCCGAGGACAGTTACTCCTTGGATTCGCTCTTACCTGGAAGCTCACGCCTGATTCGCAACCTCAACATACGCTTGGAGGTGGGCGAACATCTACAAGCCCCGAGGGGAATCGGCTCCGATGGCATCTCCCTCGAAGATTACATGCTCTACATATTCAGGGATTCCGTCCGCAAAGTAGTCGACTACTTCACCTCGCACAGCACACGAACAGGTAGCCAGAATGTCCTCAAGAAGCTGAAGGTGTCAGTCTCGGTGGCTAGGGATTGGTCATGGAGTTCGGAAGAGTTAGTTACTGTTCTATTCCTCATAGTCGAACCCTTACAGTTGCTTTCCGCCGACTGTAGATTCTTCACCAAGCCGGTATCAGGAGGTCGCCATCTGTTCTTACAGGAGCCTAGACAAAACTCCATCTACATTGCAAACATGCAAAAGAGGAAAGCGTACCCGAAACTTCGCGAGCAGTGGCTCAACGTCTCCAAAAACCCTGAAGCATCCAGTGTATTCAGACCGCAGAACCCCCAGCCCGCGGTGCGAAGCGCTCTTAACAAACTAGATGCGTTAGTCCAGCTTCTGCGCATGGAAAACAAGAACAATTTCCAGCCGTGGATGGCCTCGGCGTTCCGTGACATGGCGCGCCCACTGCATCTCGCTCGCGTGGCATATGAAAACGACGACTTGGCCATGATTAATCGCATTCTCGAGGCGATCAAACTGCGCTGGATCAACGCGAATCGCAAGCATCAAGCGTCGATTCGCACCGTCAAGAACTCCATTGCCGGCATGCTCGAGTCCAACACAACATATGGTCAACACGACGGTGATCTCCAAGGTGAGCCATCTCTGGCAATGTTGTACCCGGACGAGTTTGGAAACTTGGACCTTGAGCAACTCCGGCCGGTATACGATCACCTTCAACCTTATTTGTGGCTGGAAATCAGCGCTGAGGATTCGGTCCCTAAACGTGGCGATTCTGGTGTCGAGTGGAAGATCGAAGGCGTGAGGGTGCGGGCTCGCAAAGGTGGCAGGGAATGGGTCCGCTTGAAAACTCTTGAGGTAGTGAGGCAGTTCAGGTCGATGTGAGTGGGGGCAGATACGTACGAATGAACAGAAATGGGTGGGATAGGAAATGACGTGGGTTAAAATGAACTGAATGGTCTTGCATCGCAGAAGAGCAAAGAGGCATCACTCAGTGGGTTTGAGCTTCCAAGGCTTCATAACAGGCAACTTGATTTGCGTCGCGAAGCACGAAAATCTATAAAAAAGAAATTGCACAAAACCTTGCGTATGTCCATGTGACTTCATCCCGCACAAATCTAACGTGATCAACACTTGCCCGAATCTTACTTCCTGGCCTCGCTCCTCTTCCTCATACCCACCTCTAGGGCCAACGGCTTCCTCAAAAAGCCCTCCCTCGTCTCCAATTCACCCTGCCTGAGCTCAAACTCATACCGCCTAAATACCGTGCTTACAATGAGCGCTAATTCCATCTCCGCCACGTTCCTGCCCACACATGCTCTGGGTCCATAGCTGAACGGAACAAACGCGGCTTTCTGCTGCTCCGTGGCCTTCTCCCAGCGCTCGGGCCTGAACTCGTCCGCATCCGGTCCCCAGATCTCCTTGCTGTGATGGATCGTGTACGCCGGGACGGACAAGACTGTGCCTTGTGGAAAGTGGTGACCGCACACAGTAATACCGGGACCGGGTGGGATGATCCTAGGCAGACCGAGCGAAGAGGTGCTGTGGATCCTCATCGCCTCCTTGATGACAGCCTCGAGATATGGGAGGTCGCGGACAGCGGCGAATGTCGGTACAGCATCGATATCTGGTAGCGCTTTGTCCAATTCTTGTTGTAATTTTGTGACGACTTCCGGGTGCGTTAGGCAGTGGTACAACAATGCACAAGAAGTATTCGAAGTCGTGTCCGACCCGGCGATGAGTTGCGTTAATGCTTCAGCAGTGAGTTCCTCCTTGCCTAGCTTTTGTCCGCTCTCGTCTCTTCCCTCCATCAATCGCGCTAGTAGATCCACGCGGTCAGACGGCTTATCCAAACGTGCGTTCACACGTGCGATAGCGATACCAGCGAGGTCCTGGATTGCTTTCATGCCCTGGCTGAAGAATGGATCGGGGAGGTATTTCGCGTACGGTTTGATGTAAGGATAACATCCGATTGTACCTGACACCTCGCCGCGGCGGTTCAGAACTTCGATAGCAGGTGCGTGAGTAGTTGTGCCGTCGAGTTGGGTTACTTCAGCGAAGTCCTGGCCTTTTTCCAACATTCCGAAGGGGGCTCCGAAAGCGAGATCGCCGATTACGTCGAAGGCGAGGTAATTGAACCTGTGATTTTTTGTCAGTATGCGAGATATAACTAGAGTGAATTTGCTGGATGTACCAATGCAAAGCATCCATTTGATACCAGTCGTCCTTCTTCTGATCCGCCCTGACATCCCATTGCTTTTGCAACTCCTCCAAGTTATGATGGATGTACTGCTCAAACTGTCCAACACTCTTTGCCGAAAAGGTGTGGCTCACGGTCTTCCTCTTCCTCGTGTGTTCCTCACGGTCTCGCGTGTTGAATAGTCCTCGACGAATGCTCACGAAAGCGTCGTAGTACTCGCTCTTGAGGAACCCATTGCCGTGACCGTAGATAAGCGGTATAGCGTCGGCGTCGGCGATACTAACATGGTGTGGCTGAATGCGAACCAGCTTTCCGTACTTGGCGTGCGCAGCGTGGACTGAGAGGAAGCGCTTGCCCTGGCGGCACTGAGCAGCCAGCCATAAGTTGGTGAACGCGGCGGGGAACGGCGCTGGGATGTTGCGAATCTGCCAGTTGCGGATGTATGGGAGGATGTAGTAAAGGACCGGGACGAGCAGAAGCGTATACGGCGAGAGGAGGTAGTTGGTCAACGACATCTTGGCTCCCTTGGCTCTCTTGTGAGGGTGTCAAGGTCCAAGTCGGAATGGAGGAAGCGGTGGCTGTCGAGAGGTCAGACGGAAGCTCTTCGGTGTGGTTCAGCTAGCTCACTCAACACCTCGGTGGCTGCTTTCGTGCTTGCTAGAAACGAATCTAGAAGATGGCCACCAGCTCTTATAGCCCTGTTCCCCTTCTTTGAGGAACTAGCTTGCGTAAGTCTTGTTTCCCTCCTCAATAAGCCTTCCGATGCCAGCACGAGACCTCCAAACGTCAGATCCATCTCAACAGGACTGCTGAGCTGCAATTGACCAATCATGTCGTGGCCGTAGTAAAGTCACCAAAGCCGTGAAGTAGTTCCGTCGGTTTGAACCCCGCATGGGCCGCATCAAGGAGCCAGAGAGCCCCGAAATTACCCCGCGCATTCACCCAGCTTCCGCTGCAGTTCCGCCGCTGCAGTTCCTCCATTTCTGGTCGACCGAGTTTGCTGCGATGGTGGAGACCGTGACGTGGAAAGCTGTTGCGACGAGGCAGGAGACTCCCGAGGATGTCTCCCGTTTGCTGTGGAACTGTGAAATGCCATGGCGGTGTCAGCGAGCGAAGTCGAGTAAGCCCGAGCAATGCGCGACGCAGCGGCGGTAAGCGGATGATTCATATCGAAGTCAACCCGAGTCGAATGATATTTCCACCAGAGTTAGAGTAAAGCAGGCAAGAAGTCAGATGTGGTGAACATGAATTTGAGCTCGCTGAGTTGTTGGATGCGGGAAGAGTGCGACATGTAGGAGTGGTACCGATAAAGAACGATCACGAGCAGAATTAGAAATCTGCTCACAAATGCGCACTCCGACATGAGGCGACACCAATGACTCAGCAGATGTATGTTGCAATACATGGATGGCTCTCAAAGTCGGAGCAAGGGCCTGTCCAAATCTGTGAGGGCAGTCACGAACGCGAACACCACCACGACACAGCACTAGCGCACGACCATCTGGATCAACTGGTTGCTGTTCAGAAGGCAACACTGACCAAGGAAATGTACTCCGTATGTGCGCAATAGTCGACACCCCCAAACCTCTAGATTGGTGGCTCTCGAATGACAACTTGTGCGTCGGAAGCCAGATTCACATGACGCAAAAGATACATCAATGGCTGAATTGAGAAGGGCAATCTACTGCTACGCAGACTTCTCCAGGTCCACTTTCGCACAACCGTCTCCAACATTCGAAACAGGTTTCTAGATTCACGATGAGTGTCACACACTTATCCCTAGGGCGCTACCGTCTACCGATTCCATTTTGTGGAAGGAAAATGGAAAACGCACAACTTCGAATATGCAAGTGGCGCGACAATGGGTCTGATCGCAAGGTAAATCATTGCACGGTCCTACGTGTATTATTGCACCCCTAAAAGAGACGTCCTTCGAGTGCTAGCTCGTCGTATGGCGTGACTTTTATCGACACGTTTGGCTGGCTCATGGCAGGCAGGGAAGACATCGCGCTGCGCGTGAGCAGTAAGTGGCAAGGACAACGTGTTTCAGCCAAATCCCTTATTGGTGCAACAGCTTTTTGAGCTGCACGTTGATTTTCGGAAAGATTCTGCACGCAAATACACCTCTCTGATGTCATTCCGTTAGCCTCACGCGTATGTCGATCAAATAAGTGGACCTCCCGAAGACCGCAGAGCCTCAACACCAACAAAGTTTCTTCAAGCACTAAACCACCCACCGAGGCTTTAACCTGTTAGGGCTTACAGATAGCACTCTGGCAGGGTTCGAGGTTTTACTCCGAGACCGCTAGGGAGCTATCCAGACTTGCTCCCAACAAAGCACTGACGTCGGCTGCGACTGAACAGTGGGCTTGTATAAGTGTACCTAGCCGAGTACTCCAATATTGTCGGCCACTTGCGGTAAGACGGTGATGGACCATGCGACTGTCGTCACTTCACCGTCGTCAACGGGCAACGATGCCGACTGTTCGCCGATATACATAAACAATGGGTTTGACTTCTTCGTGCATGTCTCTCTAGTTCTTACTCCTCTTTTGATCCATCATCCATCATGTCTGGTTACTACGGTCCCTCTTTTTATAATCGTCCCTCGAGACCGGGGTCTCTGGCAGCATCGAGAGCAAACTCTTCATACAGAGTCCCTCGTACTGCTCCCGGCAGTAGACCCATCACTCCCCGAAATGCCTCGATTGCCACCCCTCGAAATGCATCGTTCGCTCATACGATTGCCGGAACAACTGCAGCACATACTGCACAAGTCACCGCAGCCAACACTGCAGCCAACACGGCCCCCAACAGTAGACCTGGCACACCCGGCTTGCTATCTGAAGTGAACACCAAGCTTGAGAATGAAGCCCAGCAGCCCCAAACAGAACGCACGTCATTAAACTCTGAAATTGAGAGAAATGAAAAGGGCGAGCCTATGATCGGCCGTATTGCAGGCGGCAAATACATTGATGCCGACATCGAAGACATTGACTCGGACTGCGGTCCAATCAAGACCGTCGAATGCGACATGCCGTTGACCCTCACGGAGATGGTTATTCACAACGAGAAGGAATACATCGTCTTGTCGTTTGCTACTGGCGACAAGGAAAACCCTTTCAACTGGAACCCATGGTACAAGCGTAGCATCACCACCATGCTGAACTTGATGACACTGTTTATCGGCCTTGCGACCACGGCGTACAGTTCTGGAATCGGGAGCATGTGCGAAGAATTCGGCGTCCCTGAGATCATGGGTCAGCTTGGTCTGTTCACTTTCAACATTGCTTGTGCCATCGCTCCTATGGTCCTGGCGCCGTTCTGCGAGCTTGTCGGCCGGAAAGTGGTTTACAGCAGTGCTTTCCTATGCTTCTCGCTCATCTTCATCGGCCTTGCACTGGCCAAAGACATATCAACCATCATCGGTCTTCGTCTCCTCCTTGGTCTCTTTGGATGCGTCGGAACGATCCTGGTCGGAGGAACATTTGACGACAGTAAGCCATCCTCAAATACCACTCATATCTCTCGCAAAATACTAACTCAACCCCCAGTGTACGAACCACACCACCGCGGCCGCCCGATGGCCATGTTCGCCTTCGTCGCCATCTTCGGCACCGTCGCCGCGCCCATCTACGCCGGCTTCATCGACCAAGCCCTCGGCTGGCGCTGGATCCAAGGCATCCAAGGCCTCGCAAACATCCCGCTCCTCGTCTGCATCTTCGTCTTCTTCCCCGAAACCCGCGGCGGTGCACGCCTGCACAAGCGCGCCAAGGAGCTGCAAAAGGTCACCGGCGACGAGCGCTACGTCGCCGAAGACGACATCTACACCCCGGACGTCAAATCCATGCTCAAAGCCTCCTCCGTCAAGGCAATCCGCATGCTCGTCACTGAGCCGGTAGTCTTCGCCTTTGGCCTTTGGATCGCGTTCTGCTGGGCGGTAGTCTTCCTCTTCCTATCCGTGATCCCCATCACGTTCCAGGAGAAGCGCGGCTGGAACGAAGGCGTCTCGGGCCTACCCTACATCTCACTGGCTATCGGCACGCTTCTAGGCTGGGCAGCGCACCACCTGCAAATGCGCAAATACAACGCCCTCCAAGCTGATCCCAACATCAACATCGTGCCCGAGCATAGGCTGTACGGCGCCATGTTCGGCGCCGTGTGGTTGCCTGTCGGGCTGTTCATCTACTCCTTCACGCAGTACGGCTACCTGTCGTGGGTCGGACCCGTAATCGGCCTCGCGCCCATTGCATTTGGCATTTTCTTCGTGTTTGAAAGCACGTATTCGTACACGGCCGACTGCTACGGCGAGGCATCCTCGTCGGCGATCGCGGGCCAGGGACTCATGAGGAACACGCTGGGAGCTGTGACGCCTTTGTTTGCGTCGGCCTTCTTTCACAATGTTGGGAGTCAGTATGCGGGGCTGATTCTGGCGCTGTTTGGGACGTTGTTGAGTTTGATTCCGTTTGTCATGTTCAAGTATGGACATTTGCTGCGCGCGCGGAGTAAGTTGGCGAAGGAGTATTAGAGTCGGTGGTGGGAAGGGGAAAGGACGGAGTTACTAGAGATTGATCTTCAACTCAGGCGTAAGCTGATGCATCTCATCGATCTAAATAATGTTTCTAATCCAACTGAGCTGCGTTCACTAAATTTTCTCCACGGCATGAAGTTTATTATAATCTATCTTACGACTCTCAAACTTTTTGCGTTTTCGCCATGACTTAGAGAGACTTGGTACCTTCCTAATCGGGCAGTTGATTTCAAGTGTTGATTGTAGTGGACTTTTAGGTGTCCTAATTTTCGACAGGCGGCGACAGCGTACTTTAAGGAAGCCTTGTAGGTAGGTGACACAAAGGGTAGTGCCAAAAGAGCAGTGTATTCACTCAAAGTTTTGCAGCGGTCGACACTAGAATCGATTGCCTGATTAGGAAGGTACCATCCCTCGCAGAGAGATGGTGAGAGAGAGAAATGCTAGTGTTGTTTGAGTGATGACGGTGAAGATGAAATGTCACCAAACCGGTAAATTCTCAAGCATCCAACCACGACCACCATCACAATCACGAAGAAGAGTATAAGATAGAGGGGTATAGAATTTCAGAAGACCAAGGGTAATCTAGCTATCAAAAACAAAAGAGATGATCTGTTCCCGCGCAACAAACCTTATTCCATCATGCGTACTCCGGTGGTATCATGCAACACATCCTTCCGCTGCTCTCTAATCCCATGTTCCATCCAAGCGTGTACGTTCCGTCCCGTGAATATAGGACCTTAGTTATCGTCCTCATCTGAGAAGAAGTTCAAGATGGCCTTGACTGCCAATGGTCCCAGGCCGTGTGGTGGATAGCAGATGTAACTCGGGTCGTCGATGGCGCCAAGCTTCTCGCGGAACTCAGTCTTGTTAGTGAGCTTGAGTTCAGTCGCGATGGCGTGGTACGCGCGACTGAGCACCTTGACACGAGTACCCTTGACGTTGTGGCCGGGGGTGAATTTGGAGGCAGCACCGCCACCGAAAGTGACAGTGCTTGCGCCACTGGCACCGACCATCTTGAGGGCGTGTGTGACGATGTACTCGATGGAACCCGCCCGGTGCGGCCTGGGAAGTCGAGCGAGTACTTGACTTGCCAGCCGTGGTCGGGGGAGAGTTGCGCCATGGCGACGAAGGCGGCAATAGTGCCGTCGGAAGTATAGGCAATATGGTATTGGCGATGCTCCTCATCTTGCCATGGGTGAATGTTTGTCAGATGTACCTGCTTGCCCTTGCGGTTCTTCAACCAGTCTTCAACGCGAGCATCGACCTTGGCCTTGATCTCTGGAGGTGGCGGCGAACCAAGCTCATAGTCGGTGATCTTGACACCCTTCCTTCTCAGCATGTCGGATCTTGCGCTGCACATCACTGTCCTTCTCGGCGGGGTTGTGAATAGGGTCTACACGCTGCTCGCCAGTGACGGAGAACGTACGCCAGTTGAATTTGGTAGCCAAGGTTTCCTCCACTGGACCACCAACAAGAAGCCACAGCGGCTTGAGATTGCGCTCCTTCTTGATATACTTGAGGTATGCAGTCATAGTCTTCAGGTATTGAGACGGGTGGCAGAGAGGATCACCAACAGTAATAGCATAGCCATCCTGAGGCACAAATCCAACAGCAGCTCCAGTGTGCTCGTCGCGCCAGATCTCTGTCCGTGGCTCAAGCCATGAGGTATTTGTCGCATCACCGTAGTTTGCGATGAGCTTCTCGACAGGCTGGTAGTCGACTTTGGCGGCGACACGATCTTGGCCTTCCCATGGGGGATGCATGGTGCTGGCCTCGGGATGGCGTAGCTGTTTGATGACCGGCCTCTCCGGCAGACTCTTGGGGTCTCGGAGGGAACATGGACGCGTGGCGAATGTTTCCAAGACTCATCATCAACATGAGAATACGTTCGAGTCCGATACCACCTCCACCGTGTGGGGGAGCACCCCACTGGAAGCCCTGAATGTACTCTTCCATCGACTGGGGATCGACCTTCATCTTGCGCATCTTCTCGAGAAGCATGTCTGCATCGTGTATACGCTGGCCACCACTTAGAATTTCCTGGCCACGACAGAAGATATCGAACGAGTTCGTGACGTTGGGGTTGTTCGGGTCTGGCATCGCGTAGAAGGGTCGGGCATTGGCGGGGAACTTGTCCAAGATGTAGTAGTCTGTTCCGAGCTTCTGTTTGATAACACGACCAAGTTGTACCTCGTCTCGTGTGCCCAAATCCTCATTTACGTCGAGCTCTTTGCCCTCATCGTCTCTCCACCCCGACTCATTCAGCATCTTGACTGCGTCTGCGAATGCAAGAACAGGTGTCTCGTCCAGCCACACTAGATCCTCGTGAGGGAAGTGCTTCTTGATGATCTCAATCTCAGGGCGGTATCGTTCGTAGACGCCCTTGAAGATGGCTTTGAATGTTCGGTCGAGGACGCGGAGGACTTCGTGATAATGCTCGTCGATTTGCATCTCGAGATCGAGACCTGTGTATTCGGTCAAGTGACGGTACGTATTGGAGTTCTCTGCACGGAAGACAGCTCCGATTTCGTAGACCTTTCCAAAATCGGCTGAAATAGCCATCTGCTTGGCTAATTGAGGACTCTGGGCGAGGAAAGCGCCGCGGCCAAAGTAGTCAATCTTGAAGACGCTGGCTCCGGATTCAGTGGCACCACCCTGCAGCTTTGGCGTGTGGATCTCAATGAAGCCTTCCGAGTCCAGCTGGGCACGGAACAGGCTGCATATACCGGACTGAATGCGGAAGATGCCCTGAGAAGCCGTTGTCCGCAGATCGATGACACGGTTGGTGAGACGTGTGCGATCTGAGATCCTGACGCGGCTGTGACCCTCCTTGTGCTCCGACTTTGCGAGTTCGGCATCGACTTCGGCCTTTGAGACCTCTGCCTCGTTGACGTTGAAGGGAAGGTTCTCGGTCACAGCAGCCTCAACGTGCATGGCGTGTACAGAGACCTCGACGTCGTGAATGGTGGCTCCAAGAACCTCACCCTGCTTGGCCTTGGGCTCCTGAAGGATACCCTTGACCAGCACAACGGTTTCGGCGTCGAGGTGCTCTGCCCAGTATAGCATGTACTTCGAAATGTCTGCATGCTCCATCAAGACACCCTGGATGGTAGCGAGCTGCTGGCGGAACATGAAGAAGACAAATTTGGAACTCATCTTCCGCAAGTGGTGGATACGAGCGCGGAAGACAACTTCCTTGCCAACGTCTTTGGCTGAAAATTCCTCGATCTTCATCCGGGGCTCATGCTTCCACTCGCCAGCATAGGCGTTGGGGTGGAAGCTGCCGTACTTGGCCTTTTGTTCTGGTGTGAGCTCAGCCTCGGCCTGCGCGTCCATTTCCTTCCGCCTCTGCTCAAGGAGCTTCTCCTTCTCCATGTTCTGCTTGTGGCGCTCTTCCTGCTGGGCTTGCCTCTCGGCCTTTCGCGCCTGGTTCTTGGACATGGGCTCGCCATCGCGGTTGAGCGGGACTCCCTCATCACTGGACGAGTTGTCGCCTCCAATATGCAGCTTCTCCTTCACTGCACGGATGGGGCTGTGCGTAGAGAGCGAGCCGGATCGCTGGTGATTGTTGCTCGACTTGGTACCGGAACGGTTGGGACTGTCGGTGCGGCGGCCGAGGAGTCCGGTCAGAGAGTGACGCGGGCCCTCTAAACTGCTCCTGCTATCTGTGGGAGAAGTGACTTCGCTGCGCTTGTAGTCGCCGCTGGCCCTGTGGCTGAAGATGCCAGAAGAACGCGGGGTCGCATTTGGCGACTGGGCTCTAATAGGCAAGCCATTGGAGGTTGCGGTGGTGCCGGATGCCACGGGAGGCACCTTGTTGCTCTCGTCGTCTGAGGCCGGGTTGCTGTGGTGGCCCGGCTTGAGCTTGTTCAATGCCTTTTTGAGAGACATGTTTGCGGTTGGATTGCGCGAGCTGTACCCAAAAGTGCGTGTGGTTAGACTACCACAGAGCGGGGTAAGCTTTTGCCGGGTGCAGAGTGAGTCTAGGGATAGGCGTCTGTTTCGTGGAAAGCAAAATCAGGGACGAGGCAGCTGTTAAGGGCGCGGGAGCGGGCGGCTCGCAATTCGCGTGGTCCGACGATGCTGCTCTGACGTCACAGCTGCCTGTTAGCGCGCTTGGTGAGGATGCTTGTGTATTGACTGCGATTATCGTGTCCGCTTTGAGCTTTCCCTACTATCTGCACATGCAGCGGCCAGGCAGGTCTGGAGGCGGGGATACTAGAGGGGCGCCAGAGAGACTTCACCGCGGGGCAATGCACTGCACGCCTTGAGAATAGGTATGGTTATGCAGCAGCAGTCTACTTCTCGTTCCGAGCGGCTACCACGGGAATGTGGCCACATGCAGAGAGGAGCATTTGTAAAATAAGCTTCCCAAGCGAAGCTGACATGCTGCACCAAGCAAAGGTTCTCGTCTGCCCGCCACAATCTCATCGCGAGCATCGGCCACCCAGTTTCTATCCAAGATCGGCTGAAAGCGCGTGCTGTCGGCCAAGATGGGCGGCCTGGATGGCATTTTGACGAAAGAGCATGCAAAAGCCTAGGTTGCGCATGTGCATGTGCGCTGTAAAACTCCTCCCCCGTCGCAAACGTCATAACTCCGTCACGAAAATATCAATTTTCAGGTACTGCTCCTGTGCTTCATCGCCATCTTGTCCAAGATCGGTCGATGCTTCGTCTCCATATTTCGGCTGACTTGTTGTCCTACTGCTTGATTGGATATCCTCCTATCTCTTCGTCCCTCCTCGGCAAAGCCGGCACGTATTTGCACAAGAGGACCTCACGAAGTTGAGCCAAAGTTCGCCTCTAACTACATTGCATATAATCGAGCAACCACTACAGTAAGGCAAATATCTTCGCCTTGGTTTTTGGACTTGTGATCATTTGCTTTTCCTTCTGAAAGAGGATAAAGCTAGTAATTGTCAAGTAAGCCTTTGTAAGACACGATATACACAGCATTCCACACTCTTCTTAGTGTGCCGAATAGGGAGAATGCACCCGCTACGAAGCCATCGCTCAGGCTATCTGATGATTGGATACATGTGCATTCTAAGGACTTTGCAGCGCTCTCCAAATGCTCGCAAATCCTGACTCAAGCAGTCATCTCTGTTAACCTCGGGAACTACCCTTTCGTGTCAATCTTCCTAACCTCATTCTCAACGCGGAAGCCCGGCCCGTCGCGTGTCCAGCTAGACGACACGGCTCAGGGACTGCTATCAATAGCACCATGTTTCGCATAAGAAATGAACCATGATTCCCATGTTATAGAACAAGGCAGCGCGCAAATTGCCATGTTCCGTCATATTCGCGTCACACTAATTCCGGACTCTAAGATAACTGCTCCTGTTACTCCTACAAATCAAGGTTATCGACCGCCACGTTTCAGCAGAAACCTGCGTGTCTACTGCTTGGTTGGATACGCCAAACCCACATCCTCCTCTTCAGCCCCAAACCCACCCCAGCCATCAAACTCATCCGCAAACTTGACTGCCGCAGCCAAATAGTTCTTGTTTTCATCGCCCCAAGTCTCGGCGCAAGTTTTCAAGGAACGCAGAGCTAGAATGACGAGGTCAGCTTCCCAAACTCACAATCTAAGAAAGGGGTATGACTTACTCTTGACATAATGCGCATCTTTTGAATGCGGACCCTCGAGCGCATTGTGTACGACATGCTTCCACGTTTTGTCCTTGACATCATACTGCTCGCCGCTCGCCTTCTTTACTACCGGCCTCATCTGCGCCACATACACTGCGAGCGTAAATAGCCACCACTGCCTGATCAACCCGACATGGAACTTTGCCGGCACAAGCGGTAGCAATACGCGAATCGCATGACTCGAAGTAAGCGCATGTACGAAGAAGAAACTGAATTTTCCCGTCTCGTCCTTCTCTAGCACTAATACTGCAGCGAGAGCTTGTGCTTGTTCGAATTGTGAGGTTGGGTCCGTGATGGGCCATGCGTTCCAGTGTTCTAGCAAGGCTTCTTCGCATTGTTCGAAGATCTTGGTGATGTCGCCGCTGGGAGATGAGTATAGGCCGTCGAAGCGCGCATCGTGTCGGACATTGTTTAGTAAGTTGTAGAGATCTGCGTTGGCGCCGTCCCCTTTGTGTGGCTTGGTGTACGAGGGATCGTCGATATATTTGTGAAGCGGGTTGTAGAAGCAAGCTCCAAGTGCAAGCGCTTCGATTGCCACTGTCTTGGATTCGAGTTCATATGCGTATCCGAGGTGGATGAGAGGATGCGCGACTGTCATAATCAGCAAAACAACCCCAAGCTTGAACTAACATACATACGTCCAGCAACCAACCCATTAATCAACGGCTCCTTTCCGCCAAACAAATACTCCTCAAGCAGCTCGTCGAGATTATACCGTGTCGAAACAAGCTGATCCTCGAAGAAATCGATGAACGCTCTCTGATACCTATTTTACACCCATTAGCAATCCACTCAACTTCCACAACTTCCACAACTCACTCTCTCTTCCCCAAAAAATCCCTCCAATCCTCCCTCGAAATCTCCCCCGGCGAGTCCCTCCACGGCTCCAGCCCCTCCGCCTCTCTCTCGTATATCTCGTTCAAATGCTCCGCCGTACCTCCGAGTACATACGCGGATCCCAGGAACTACAACCCAGCTTTAGCCAGTTGAGAGCAACGTGAACACAGCATCGGGGCAGTCATACGTGCGGTGTATGGTTGTGGAAGCGCAAGTCATGGTATATGATCGAGTAGTTTGCATGGTTGGCTTTAAGCAGGTGCTTGAGGGTTCGCGGTCGCTTCTCGGCGGATGTCTCGATGTCGTGGATTTCTACGGATGGGATCGAGGCTTTGAGATAGTGGCCACCTCCGAGGCGCAGGAAGGATGGGACTGATATCTTTGGCAAGCTGAACATGGTGGTGTGTTGAGCTTCAAGTTGTCGAGCGCGGAATTAATGCGGGGATGGAGCTATGGTGGAGCTATCTCATTCAGGCATGACGTGACATGCGTCTTCGCAACCATACCCTAGTTGAGCCGCATGCCAGCGACTTCTAGTTCCAGCGCCGAGCCAAAGCGGCCCATGGATTCGGAAAGTTGCATAGGTGTAGCATAGTCACCTTACTTCTGATTACGAGATTGGAGACAAACTTCCACAAAATTATGCATTCCTATCAAACTAGCACCGAAGTGCAGCAATGTGCGAATGTAACTATATTATCTTGAAAACATCGCGCTGCGAGTCCGCATAGCAAACCCAAAAAATTGTTCAAGTCGCTTGCAACGATGGTATAAAGCTTAGTACTCGCCCTCTTCGATGCCCTCGTCATCAAGGGAATCACTGGCCACCTCTTCGTAATCTTTCTCCAGTGCTGCAAGATCTTCACGAGCTTCGGAGAATTCTCCTTCCTCCATACCCTCACCCACGTACCAGTGAACGAAAGCACGCTTCGAGTACATGAGATCGAACTTGTGGTCCAGACGCGACCAGGCCTCGGCGATAGCAGTGGTGTTGCTAAGCATGGAAACGCTTCGGTCGACGGCAGCGAGCTCGCTTCCAGGGACGCTGATGGGCCTATATACGTTAGCATACAGCTTGCGCAAAGCAGGAAGGGCACATACTTGGTGTAGTTGATGCCAAGCTTGAAACCAGTAGGGCACCACTCGACCAGGTTGAAGGAAGACTTGGCCTTGAGCTGACCAGCGGCGACACTGCAGTCGCGGGGAACAATGTCTCCGCGGTACAGAAGGGCGACGGCCATGTACTTTCCGTTGCGCGGGTCGCAGACAACCATCTGGTTGTTGGGCTCAAAGCCTGACAGCTGTTAGATGCGGTTCGGCATGTATTCGATTTCTGCGACTCACATTGGAAGGTAAGGTCGCTGACCTTGAAGCTCTCGTGAGAGCTCTTCTTGGCCGAGATGACGGGTGCGTAGCTGATCAACGGGTAGTGAATACGGGGGTATGGCACCAAGTTGGTCTGGAACTCGTTCAAGTCGACATTGAGAGCTCCGTCAAAGCGCAAACTGGAGGTAATGGAGCTGACAACCTGAGCAATCAACCTGTTGAGGTGCTCATAGTTGGGACGGGGGATGTCCAAGCTGCGACGGCAGATATCGTAGACAGCCTCGTTGTCGACAAGGAACGTGCAGTCGGAGTTCTCGATGGTGCTGTGAGTCGAGAGGACAGCGTTGTAGTGGCTCGACGACGGAGGTGGAAACGCGAGGAGCGGGATACCCGGGCGAACTCCGAGCTTGGCACTTCTTTGCAGTAAGTCGGTCGGAGAGGCGCTCAAGGAGGAGGCGCACTCGAAACCCAGAACCCTGTACCACCCACCGAAAGAGTGGAAGATTAGGAAACCCCTGAAAGGGAAGAGGCAGTTATCTGTCGCATGTTAGATCTGAGTTTCGCCGGCATGCGGGTAGATCTTACCAGCGACGCGACGAATGCGGTCAATGACACTGTCGACCATCTCCTTGCCAATGGTGTAGTGACCACGAGCATCTGCGTATGTCAGCACGTCTATACACTCCAGTTCTTTTCCTGCTACGCACAGTTATTGGCAGCATCCTCCTTGCCGCTGATCAACAGCTCGGGGTGGAACAACTGGCGGTAGGGTCCAGTTCGGATCTCGTCAATAGGCTGTGTCTATAAGCTTTTGCCACCATTGCTATAAGAATAACGCCACATACAGACGGGTCCAAATCGACAAAGATGGAACGCGGGACGTATTTGCCGCCTCCAGTCTCGGTGAAGAAGGTCTCGAAAGATCCGCCCTCGTTGAGCTCCTTCGCATCGGGGTCAGGACGGCCGTCCGACTTGAGGCCGTGCTCAAGCAGGTACCTGTGAAGGTTGCGTCAATTCGTATTCGAGGTATACGTGTGATTTTCGTGTACGTACAGCTCCCAGGCGCTGTTTCCGAGCTGGGTTCTGTGAGACCATATTAGTGAGAGTCTTGTAGAGGGGGATCAAACTTGAACGTACCCAGCCTGCCCGATGTGAAGATGGCAAATCTGTAAAGCTTAATGTTAGCACATTGTGTAGGACTTTTGTTCCACTCATTCCGTCGAAGCTGTCTAGCGGCTATGGGACCGTTCCGCAGGCGCCATGAGGGGAGGGGAAGTCAGGGTCCAAGTGATCTTGGATAACAAAGGGCTGCGCCAATGTAGATGCACTTACTTCGCCACGCATTTTGAAGGTCGATTGATGTTTGAAGGAGTTTGAACGTCAGTCCGTCGGACGCGGTTGTGAACGAGGATGTCGTCTGGCGGTGAACACTCCCGAGCTTCGTCTCGACTTTGGGGTCGCCAAGAATCGCGCTAATGTCGGAACAACACCGGAGCCGCCCCACTTGACACTACAGCACTCCCGGGAACTGTGCTTCAGACCGTGTCAAGGTGGGCTCTGGGCTAGAGAACCAAACTTTGGAATTGCAGACATATCACATCCTAGGCACGTGCTGTTGGAACCCATAAAGTGTTCTGATTGTGTGGAACTTTGACAATGAACGTGTTTGGACTTGGGAGCATCATACTCGGAACACACAATTTTGAAATATTCTGATTGTCATGAATGTGTAAATACTAATATGGGGTACAGTCGAGCCAATTTGTGGGATACACCATCAAGCAAGTCTCAGCGCACTGCCAACAGACTGCTGTTCTATGAAACTCGCTGTTTCTGCAATAATACGCTGTCGTGTCTATGGTTCTAACAAATGGAAAACTTTTGCATTGCAGCCGAAGATATCAGTGCATGCGCCTCATCTCAATGTTATCGGTCTGTGCGCGAGAAGGATGAGCAAATGTCCTGTCGGAATCCGCTGTGGCTGGCAGAGCGCCGGAAGATGTTGGATGATGCAACAGATGCGAGTTTTCGGTGCGATGCGAGTCGTCGGTGCTCATTCTAACAGCCTGGGAGCTAACCAAACCGGTTCGAGGATCAAGCGTGTTGGTTCTTGATGGGGTGTCATGCTCAACCTCGGGAATGTCTGCCATGCCAGCCTCTTCATCAGCACCGTGGCGGTTACGGCTGAAGAAGCGGTTACGGTGGGTACGTTCGCGAGTCTGCAAGCTAGCGTTGGTGCCGACGCGCTGAATTCCGGTCGATCTGCCACTATCGTTGGATACTCGCGAGCCATTGTCCCCGTTACGGTCCTGAGAGTGACGTGACGGAGATGTGACCCTCAGGACTGTGGCTCTGTTGCGGGCTTCGGTCTCACGGTCATCGAGGACATCGCCACTAGGGTCTATTCCGCCCATGGCGTTCATTCCGAGTGAGAAGTCGACACGCTTCCCCATGGCCGCTATCGTTTCTCCGCCACGGCGACCGTTCGAGTTCGCATTGCGCAGGATCGATGGTTGGCGAGCTGGTCCGCTGCCAGTGTTGGGAACCTCAGCATTTCCATCCATCGCCGGAGCAACGAAGGGTTCATCCATCGGACGGTTGTTGACGGTTCCGTTCGGGTTATCCGGGGTTCCATTGTGTCCGACACCAGGTGTGGCAGGGTTCTGCATGTTCTGGAGATACACAGGGAAAGACTCCTTCTGACCAGGGTAGCGCATGCGAGGTCCTTCCGATACCGCATTCTTGGATAGAAAGAGTGAGAGCACAGATGAACTTGTTGCGTCGCTGCAAACGGAGCAACTCGTTTTGCCAGCTGGACTTGTAGAAGAAGACGACGTTGAGCTCGAGCCAGTGCACCTCTTGGACAGCACGCAGTTCAGTAAGAATATTAGTCTGGTACTCGCGCTTCTCAGCTGTGACGAATTCCAACAGACACTGGCGGAGGTTGTCAATCTGCTCGAGTGTGGTACCAAACTTAATGATCATGGGGATCGCTTCCGCAAGGGCGCCTGAACGTCGGTGGTTGAGAATGAACAATGTGTTCAGATAACTGTTCGGTGCCTGGACGACATGACCCTGCATCTTCTTGAACTCTGTGTAGAACAAAGCGATCTCCTTGACGAAGTAGTCATCGCCCCTACCAAGGTCACCAGTGTTACCGTAGATCTGAACACGGTCGCCGACGTCGTAGGGGTGCTTGACGAAAACGAAGATGCAAGACTGCAGAAACTCCTGTGCGGTGGCAGAGAACAACCAGGACAGAGCAAGGAGGGTAGATCCGGCGGACGTGAGGACACCGGCAGCTGAAGTCGAGATCAAAGAAATGAAGACGATGATCGTGATGATCAGGACTATGAACATGAACACATCGTCGAGCTTGCTGACAACTGAGTCGAGATCCTTGAGCGATGCGGTAATGGACTTGCGTTCGCGGCCGATTTCAACGCATACAGCTTCGAGTTCTTCCATGGAAATGTCGCCGTTCATGTCCTTGTCAAACATGCTGAATGCTGCGTCCGCCTCTTCGTCGCTCTCGAATGCGTTCTTGAGGTCATCAGAGTGGACGGTCTCAGTCTCAGGGCGGGCAAATGTGCGGTACAGGCGTCGAGCAAGGACTTGAGCGCCACCAGGGGAGCCAATAAGCTGAAGAACAACCTGGTTGGGATGGCCACTGTTCGTCACTTTTCGTCCGGTAAAGTCACCAGCGACCTTTCCAGCAATGTCTCCAAATTTGGTCATACCCTCCTTGATGTGGTTCTGGGCTTCGTTCAGAACTTGGCCAGGGGTACGCGCGCCCGATCGTCCCTTTTCACCTTCGAATTCGGAATCATCCATGGCGATCTTTTCCTTCGAGTACTTGTAAAGCTTCGCGAGACTGCCAATCTGGAACTTGTTCAGCTCGATCCTGTCCTGATAGGTCCTGAGATGGAAGCTGATGGCAATGAGCTGGAGGATGATCTTCTCAATAAAGTTCAGCGTGAATCCGACGAAGAAGGATACGATGACTTTGTTCATGGTGTTTTGCCAGGGCTTGGTCGTTCGGTCGCCTTTGATGTTGTGGTTCTTCATCGTGGGTAGGAATGAACACTCAATGGCCAACCACCAGAAAAACAGGGTTGCTGGCAGCTCGAGCTGCTTGCCCATATCTCTCCATTTCTTGCTGTTGTTCGTGAAGAGGCTCGAGACCATACCGATGGGCCAGGGGAGACATTTCGCAATGACCTGTAAACATTAGCAAGTGCACTCAAGAATTGGAGCTGAACACGTACTCGGCCGAGCCACAGAGTCAGCCAAACGATCATCAACCAGATTCCGAACCAAGACAGTTCGACACCGCCAACATCAGCATTCGGGAACGCCAATGCTCCGACCAGAATGGGTACAAGGATCAAGAGGACCAATGGAGTGATGTACGTAAAGTACCTAACCAGCCAGCTCGAATTGTGCACCTTCTTGAAGAACTTGGATACATTCGTGGTCGGATTCTCGGGTGGCGAGTATCGGGCAGCTTGTTCGTGCAGCGGGTTCGTAGCTGCATCGAAGTCGTCGACCAGCTCTTCTCGGCGCGATCTCTGGCGTGTCATGGAGCGGTTGAGCGAGGCTCCTCGCTGCAGAGCTTCCTGTGCATCGAGCCCGCGCTCAATCTGCAGGACCGTCAAGTCGTCGTTAAGTCGGCTAGCTTGTTCTCGTGTCTGAGATGGCGAAGTCACCGAGTTCATGCGCGGAATATCATGAGCCGTCTCAACGGTCAGATGTGTGCCAGAGCGTGATCGTCCATGCCCAATTCCTGGCTGTGTATGTGTCCACGACTGTTGCTGGCTGAGATCTTCTCCGACGAAAGTGCCATCGTCGTCGGACGAGCGTTGTTGGGGGATGTGCCTGTTGCTGTCCATCTCGTATGTTGGCTCGGGCCGGTCGTTGACGGACGTAGGCATGCTTGCAGTTGTCGTTCAAGGCTCAATGCCTTGGAGGTAGAGTGAACGGTCAAGGTAAACGAGTGTGCCGAATGGCTTCGGGACGGGTCGTGCGAGTCTATATGGAAGCTATAAATTTAGTCTACCCGATGACGTCGCAATCGGATCCGCTTTGCTTTTAAAATATTATACGAGTCGTGAAACCGATCTTCTTAGCGAGTGACAAGAAAGGTTTGAAGAGGTTGGAAAGTTTTGTCGTTGGGGAGCGTGAAAGGGAGGTGTCAAGATGGCCCAGGACCAGGTTGCAAATAGAACTCCGTGTGGAGAAGGCACGCGTTCTGGCCGTAATAAGAGGAGCAACAAGAAGCACAAGCACAGGGTTATTTTGGGGTTGGCTGGCCCCGATCTGCGATTTCATTTCGACAAGACAATCGCTCCTTGCTCAATGGCCGAAGAAAACTGGGACAAGCACCGAGCAGTTGACGTGAATGGCGCACAGCTGTCGGGTGGGTCCGCGACCAAAATGCTGTTGGGACCGCGTCAAGCTGCACATCCCGCCGCCGCCGCGACGCCTATAGAAACTTCTATCCCGATCGCGTCAAGTGCGCGCGCTGGTGGGAGGCAAAGGCATGTTCTAGTCTGCCGCGACGTATTGGGAGAATTTTGAAGCCGTTGAACGCCAGCCGGCAAGTATTGGCGCGTACGTCATTCCGGATGCAAGGTACCAAAACACAAAACGCCATTGTTCTCCATTGGCACGCTTGCTTCACTGCATTATGCAACAACTTTATTTATACACTGTAGAAGTCGCGCGACAGTCTAGTAAACTTTACTTTCTGCCATACGCGTCCTCAACGACGTCGCGAAGCAGTCCATCTTAACATTTCACTGCATTTATTTCTTATCCGGTAGCAATTATCGTTATCGCGGAAGCCAGCGGCAGCGTTTCAGGGAAACCGTGGCTTACTTGTCGCCCAGCGATCTCACTCAAACGCCATCAATGCAACCCCTGCATTCCACGTCGCCCTCCGTGGGGGCACCACCAGCAAACTCCAACATGGCCAGCTCTGTGCGACCCACTGAATCTCACCAGTCCAGTTTTTTTTCTCCAGACGCAGATCCGATCCGATCCTTTTGCTGGGGAAGGAAGAGAGTCTCTGCTTACTGTCTGCAAGTCGCCAAGTCGATGAATGTCGCTTTGCCCAGGGACAAGAAATCGTTCTAGGATCCACCGGCTCCATTTTTCACGTGAAAAGACCGACGTCGACGTGGCCTTGCTTGTGCAGCGCATTTCCAAGCAATACTCGGTAAGTTGGTTGTATCGCGTAGATGATGATCACGCCTTGGAATGGGCAACACGCCGAGTGCACTGTGGACCGAAATGTGTGATTGTATCATACCTCGTGTTCGACTTCACCAATGTAATTCGCGATCCGAGCATTTGTTTTCACAGAGCTTTGAGGCCTGACTTGAATAAGCACCAAATGTTGTTGTCAACTACGACGAAATGCGACCGAAGTGCGTCAGGTTACTGCGGTCAAAACCTAACGATACAGTGTACAGCTTTGAGCTTTGGATGCCCAATGTTCACTTCCTGGAGAAGTTGATGACTGGCAGTTTTCAAAAATTTGATTCGATGCATCTTACAAACGCGTTGCTCATTGAAACGTGCGAAACACATTGACATGCCCTTGATCAAAGTCTTCGGAGAGACAATGTCGATACTAATACCCACTTCTCCCTCTCAAACAACCTCCGTCTTCTCCTTCTCTCTCACCGTCTCCACCCCATCCCTCCTCTCCCTAAACCCTACACCCGGAATTCGACTCCTCAAAGCCAAACTACTACAAACCACACTCACACTACTCAGCGCCATCGCCAGGGCCGCCCACACCGGATCCAGGCGAACATGCTTCCTCCCGCTCGTCTCCATGGCCATACCTCCCTTCATGCCCACGCCGTTATGATGCATATCCATGTGATCCGTGCCCGTGGTGATTGGGAATAAGACACCGGCTGCGACTGGCATGGCGATCATGTTGTACACCAGCGCCCATCCAAAGTTGAAATACACCCGGCGAAAGACGACGCGTGAGAGGTCGAGTAGAGTGAGTATGGTAGTGAGGCGGCTGTTGATAAGGATGAACGACGAGGATGAGAGCGCAATGTCGGATCCACTACCAATCGCGATGCTCAGGTCGGCGGTGCTGAGTGCTGGGGCGTCGTTGATGCCATCACCGACCATAGCGACAGTCGCGCGTTGTGTTTTCTTCGACCTCATGAAAGGGATGTTGAAGAGACCGGTTTTGTGAGGCTTGGTGAGCGTTTGCTGAAGATACTTAATCTTCTCGGCTTTTTGGTCGGGGAGCACGCCGGCGATGATGTTGGAGGCTGGGATGCCGACTTGTTCACCAACAGCGTTGGCGGTGGTAGGGTTGTCGCCGGAGAGCATCCAGACGTCGATACCGCGTTGCTTGAGAGCAGCAATGACACTGATTGCTTCGGGACGGAGAGGGTCTGCGATGGAGAAAATGCAGGCTAGTTGCCAAGTTGGCGCCGAAGGTTGTGCGGAAGCATCAGAAGCAACGGCCTTTTCTGTCTCTGTCTGTGGTAGTTGCAGAGCTAGCAAGGCGACTGATTTGCCCTGCGACTTCCACATCTGCAATGCCAACGTATTCTCCGCGTCCATGGGAACACGATGGTCTGCCATGAAGCTCTCGTTACCAATGATGGCCACGATTTCATGTGCGTCCACCCTAAATGTTCCCTTCAAGCCTTTGCCAGGCACTTCATCAACGTCCACCGCTGTCGGACTGTCATGGATCTGCTTGTCGCAAAAAGACACCAACGCTCGCGAGATGGGATGATTGCTCTGGAGCTCCAAAGCTTTCGTGATACCCAGGACCAAGCTACTGTTCCGGATACCACAGAACCTGTGGTCCGTGACAGCCGGGTCACCACCCTCGGTTAGGGTACCCGTCTTATCAAAGACGATGCAATCCAGGGAACTTGCTTCTTGGAAGGCCTCGCCTCCGCCTCGGACGAGTATACCGTGCTTCGCCGCCAGACCGCCACCAACAAATAGGGCAGTCGGTGCAGCTAGACCGATGCCACAGGGACATGCGATAACGAAGACTGCGATGGCAAAGCGCAAGGACCAAAGAGCCCAGCCACCAGCACCTTCATTCTTCCACTTCTTCGGTATGCCTCCGGTCGTACCGAGTATGAGCCATACAAGCCAGGTGATGATGGCGACGGCGATGACAAAAGGAACAAAGTGGGATGTGATGGTATCGGCTACACGTTCCACAGGAGCGCGACGAGTCTGGCCTTCTCGAACCGCGGCGATGATCTGATCCAGCATCGAGGTGCCCGATATACTCGTAATTCGGATCGTGATGGGCGCGCCCTTGTTGATCGTTCCAGAAAACACAGTGTCGCCAGTGGCCTTCTTGACAGGACGCGACTCGCCAGTCAAGCTAGATTCGTCAAAATTCGATTTCCCGTCCAGGACAACACCATCGAACGGAGGCGAGGTACCATGGTACACGCGAACCAATGTCGCCCACTTCCAGTAGATCTGTGTCAACCTTGCCCATCTCCTTTCTCCGAGTCCACCAGTACAGCTTCATCTGGACGAAGTTCTCCGAGAGAGGTGACTGCATCTCCAGTCTTAGCTTTGCTGTACGCTTCGAGAAATCGGCCGAGGAGAAGGAACATGGTAAGGAAGACCACCGCGTCGAAGTAAGAATCATCCATGGAGCCTTTGGTCTTCTTTGTCGCAGCCAAAATTAGCTCAACGACAGAAGCAAAGTACGCGATACTCGTCCCGAGGCAAATAAGCATGTTCATGCTGCCGAATCGTGTGAATCGGTGCAGGTATGGCGTACGGCTTCCAGGTCTCCACATGGCCTTCACTTCTTTGATCGCTCGACGATGGAATGTATCAGCCGCAAAGAAGTAGATGGGTGTCGCGAGAATAAAGAGTGCCCAGCTGAGCCGTGTCACGTTGCCAGCCCACATCGTCCCCATCAAGTATTTCCGTATGGGATGCGTCGAGTTGATCAGACTCATGAAGACGATTCCGAGAACGAACGTGGGTATTGCAACGATGACGCAGAGAAGCAAACGGAGTAGAGTGCGTTTTCTCTCCTGAGCATGCATTTCCCGTGCCCGCGCTTCAATTGTCGGAGGGTGGAACACAGAGGGCCGAAATCCTGGATTCAGACTCGCGATCGTCTTGAAGATGTGCCGGATCGTGAAGCTTGGAGCATCGGGTACGTATCTGATGTACAGGGTAGGTGAATGGAGTGAGAAGATTGACTTCCATCCTTCAACAACGATACGATCATGGTAAGCTTCTTGGAGGCCCCGTCTGATATTATCTGGACAGTGTTGACAGAACATGCCATGGATACGGATTGCGACTGATCTTTCTGTCGCGTCTTTTGTTGTGGCTCCTTCAGGAAGGACCTGATCCAGGTCTGCGTCGTAGCCAGCATCTTCGATACTCTCTTTGATTTCAGCGAGATGCTCCTTTCCTTTGAATACAACGACTGCGGTATTGGACACAAGATTGACATCCACCTTTTCGATCCACGGATGCTGTATCAATGCGTCATTGACGAATCCAGAGCAACGACTACATGTCATGCCACCAATAGCGTAAGTAGCTCGCCATCTTTCAGATTGTTTCGATGTGGCCATACTCCTCGAACTTGGCGCGGGAATATCCTCAAGCTTCTCTACGAAGACATCGAATCCACAGTCTTCTATTGTGTTTACAACCTCATCGCAATTATGTTTGCCATTCAAGACAACAGTGCCAGTATGCGTCAGCAAATTGACGTTGATTGATTGAACAACTGGCAGCTGCTCTACCGCATGCGTGATGGCCGAGACACATGACGAACATGTCATGCCCGTGATCGCAAGTGTCGCCTTGCAGAGTGTTGACGGGCTTGCTGACTGAACTGAGACGAAGTCCTCCGATACGGGCGACTTTTCATCGAACGAAGCCGAGCCATCGTAGCTAGCTTTTGGCGAGGTTGTGACAATAGGTCCCGGCTTATAGTGCAGCACTTCCTCGCTGTTAATCTCCAGACTGACGCCGCCTTCCTTCCTCTTGCACTGTTCACATTGCTTGACGTGTAGTTCCCTTTTGTGCATATCGCCGTTTGGACTGTGAAGATCTTCAGGTTTGCCCCAACGCGACACTGCTCGCTCTAAACTAGTATACCAATCTTTCCCAGGCTCCTTGGGATTCCTGACCTCGACCGGATCGCTTTCCTCGTTCTTATCTTGAAAAATGCTGTGTATCTCGAAGCCAGCGGCCTCTAGCGAAGCCGATATATCGTCGATAGCGAGGAATGCAGCGTGTCGTACCACAACGGAATGAGAAACAATAGATACAACGATATCCTCGGGCCTAGGGTCGAGTGCGTATAAGCACGCTTGTATCGCATCGACACATGACGGGCAGTGGAGATTCGATATGAAGCAAGTTGTCGTGGTCATTTCCCGATGCGGGTCGCGCAATCTGGGGGTGGAGGGTGACATGTGGTCCGTAGATTGACAGTCGGTACGTGTGTGGTGCAGTAATGATGGTCCCGGTTACGCGGCAGCTCTTGTGTAAAATGGTGATGGGGTAATATCAACGGACAGCAAGGCAGTAGCCAACGGTGATAGTCTTAATCTAAGTGATGGGAGAAGCGACTGGGCGCAAATGCAGGAAGGAACACGACCCAAGCATGGTATTTGACTACTGTGCAACCACAAGGCTGCCGATTTTCACTAGGCAGTAACATATTAGCAAAATCTAACCTCATACTGTAAAGTCTTTGATTCATCGTGGAAAAGTGGGTTCGCACAATCCACGCACTCGCACAATTGACGCATCGCGAAATTTCTGTGGGTCCACCACGAACACCGATCGCCACCCAACGACTCAAAGACTGTATATGTCAGCAAACTCGTAGATGAAACTCCACATCGCGATAGTAACATCAGGCTCAAGGCGCTCGTCGCGTGACCGGTATGCATTTGGACTGGTGATCTTGGCGGGAATAAGCTTCTCGCTTCCCCAGCATTTCACTTCCTGCTTAGGGCACTACCGGTCTTCCGTCTTGGTGTAACCTGGACAACCATGGCTGAATAAAGAATCGACAACGGCTGTCGGCGAATATGCGCCAAGCTATATCGGTATACGGAGGGCTTGTGGCGCATCAAATTGGACATTGTAAACACTCAATCTCATGATACTTGCCGCGCTTCATGTCCACTTCCCGTGCTGCAGCAAGCGATGCCCTGACTAATATTTCGTTTGTGTTGACGAGGTTTCTGGGCTCGACATCAGTGCAACAAGTCAATACTCGCACCCTGAAATCGACAACTTGTTTAGCATTGAAAGTTTCAGAAACTTTCCCAGGGTACACAATACTGAATAGTGGTCCATTGATGGCTTGCCAATCGCGACAATTTGCTGTACAAATAGCGGCAATTTCAACCTTTCAACGCGCTGGTTTATACGCTGGCGGTGGTTCATCACTATTCACAGCCTTGTCGTCGTGTTCCAGAGAGGACTCTCTCATCATGCTTCCATGTCCACTTTCAGCATTCGCCACCTCGCTGATAGGCAATCCTGCGACTTCGCCTTTGGTTTCCATTGCGATCGTTGGTTCGGTGCCTTCGTCTTTTCGTTCTATAGGAATAAATGCATCGTAGTACCGGGGCATCACGGCGCCCACCAAAACTACAATGATGGTCAAGATGGAGAGGATGAATCCAGTGATCATCATCGGGTCGTATCTCAAGGTATGGAACTCTGGGAAGGCGAATGAGAAGATGATTGCGAGGACGGGCCCTGAGATGTAGCGGAGCAGGACGGGAAGGAAGAAGGGAATTTTCCAATTTTTTCCTTGTCCGACGATCACGTTCAAGTCGCGTCGGATTTGGTTGCCCTATGGATGTCAGTCTTCAGACTTTAGGTTGGTATGTCTGCAATGATCTTACCGAATAAAATGCAAGGAACCAAAATTTTCGCACAAGCTTGTTCCAATTCCAGAAGCTAGGCGCCGACGCATCAGGCGAGCGTGCGACGAGCACAGCCACGATGGACATGACAACCCAGAATGCGATTCCAGCCCCGGCGCCTGCAGCGGCATTCGATATTCCGTGGGCCAGCGATATGCCGAAAACTTGTCCTCCGAAGAAGCCAACGTTGTAGACAATAAAAGCAGGAAGTCCAGTCTGGTCGACTATGTCTCTCCAGCGGTAGACAGTCGTAGCGCTGGACACTTCGGACCATACCACGAAGATCAATGCTACGTTGTTCACCCATCGATCGACTCCATCGAGAAGGTAGTATCCGAACTCCGTGCAGTACGGTAGGCACATGAGGAAGGACATGATCGTGAGCACTGTGACGACGGTCGGGCGCGAAGCCTTGACCATTCCAGAGTCGCAGATTAAGGTGACGACAACATCCAGCATGACGAAAGCGGAGCTGAAGCCGAGGACTACCAAAGTGAAGAACAGGAGTACAGCCCAGAAGTTCGCGCCTGGCATTTGCAGCACGGCCTCCGGTAATGTTAGAAATCCGACCACGAAGGCCCCAAGTCTTACGCCATCAGTAGGCCATCTGCGCAGGTACCCAACAACACCAAAGACAGCGAAAGCTGCAAAATTTTCGAAAAGGACGTTAGATCCGCAGATGAGGATAGCGTCCATCACCGCGTTGCTGTGTTTCTGGTTGTAAGATGCGTAGGAAGTAAAGTAGCCGAATCCGATTCCGGTGGAGAAGAACACTTGACCGACTGCGACTTGCCAGACAGTGCCTGATGCCAGTTGATCGGCTCTCCAGGTCCGCCAGATAAGTGCAACACCCTCGCTGGCGTTGTCAAGAGACAGTGCGCGGCCGACGAAAATGATAGTTGTTACGATCGGTAGACCCATGGTAAACTGTGGTTGGAGTCAGTATGTTTCACTGTTGTTCGACGCTTTCGGAGTTCATACGTAGACGACACGACCTGTCATGCCCACGCCGCGGAAGATAGAGATCCAGATTAAAAACCAGATGAAGATTGACCAGCCAACAGTTTCTCCAATAAGCGCTCTGTTCGGATATTGCTGGTAGGCTGCGACTGAATTTCCATCGGCACTGAGACTTCCTTCAATAATGTCGCCAACCTGCAAGATATCGTTCCAGTAGAAGTCTTCTATTCTGTTCTCCCATGGCAAAGGGCTCGTGAAACTGTACCGAAAGTAGTTCATGATCCAGGCCAGGTTGACGGTGAAGTACTGTACGACCAGGAAGGACACGATCACAGGGCCCATACCGACACCTTTGAGACGACGGTTGATGTTGTTAAAGGCGATGACTGTACCTCCACGGTACGCTTGCCCAATGGACACCTCCAGTATAAGTGCAGGTATAGCGATAAGGAACACTGCAAGCAGATATGGAATGAACCATTGTAGTCCGTAGTTATTGTATAGCACGGAAGGATATCGAAGAAGATTGCCCTGCCCGGCGCAGCCTCCCATGGCTGCGAGTAAGAAGGCTGCCCGGGATGGCCATTGGTCGCGACCATCCTCTGACTTTGCCGGAGGTGGTGCAATCCACGCTCCAACTTTCCTGAGGAAATCCATCATGAGGTGAAAGGGATGGATACTGAGAAAGACAAAAGGGAGCAGAGCGAAGTGAGACTACGTAGGTGAAGGCTGCATTTTGTATCCTTGTTTGTAGACCAGCCATGCTAAGGCCGCCAAGATAATGATCGAACTGTGCAGAGGCGATCGGTTCGTGAATCCTACGGTATCTGGTTGGTACTAGCAACCGCCTGTAGGGTAGATTTTCGTCTACAACAGTAGCCTGACATCAAGCGTAACCGAAACACTGACCCATGGTACCACTGAGGCGGGATGACCGGCTGGACCGATGTCTCCACATCAATACTAAGCTCTTCGTCGACTCAAGGATCTCTCGAGCATGCAAACATGCAAGAAGATAATGATCGGCTGGGTCTTGTCGTATAAGCACAGCGAGAAAGTTGCAAACGAAGCCAAGTTCCCGCGGTGCGAAGTGGAGAGCGGAGTCGCGGCGTACGTCAACAAGTGTGAAAGTGCGTCGTTGGGCTAATCATGCATGTTCTCCGGTGCCGTCTTCCGACTTGACAACGCTGGGCACATCTTGGCCCGCGCCGCAACGCTAGTTTCTATCCCATCATCCCAAACATAAAAAACTTGAGGCTCTAGGACATGGTGCTGCAGCGGATCCGTTGCGTGCTTAGAAACCTATGCACGTCCGCGAATGTTTGCAGACAAGGAAAACTTGAACTGCCTAGACAGGATGAAGCGAGCTTCGGTAAGGCGCGGGGATGCGTGTGCTAAGCAATGCTAACATTCACGCGTGAAAATCGTAGAACGACAGCATGTCTCCGTACTAAAGATTGACGTATCTTCGCAGATTCGCGAGCCAACAGCTTCTAAGGTTCTTGCAGACCTGCTTCCCATTGCAGATGCGTTACCATGGCTTTCTCGGCTTCCAATTCGGCCTCCAGTGTGCTCACACGGTAGGTGAGCTCCGTAATCTTCGCTTCTTTTGCTTTGATAGCGCTTCGCGAGACGTCACGCCCTCTCCTCAACCCCTCTATGTTCTTCGCGTTCCTCAACAACAGGTCCTTGAGATCAGCCTGGATATCAGCTGGTAGCCGAACGTTGTTGTCCTGTATGAGTTCAAACACATCTCGCGTCAGATCGTCAGGCGGGATATTACGGAAGCGGTTCGGTGTTGGCGTCTCGAAGGAGGAAGAAGGTGTTGCTGTCTGATGTGTATCATCTTCAGCATCGTGATGCCTCGAGGATGTGGCACTCAGTCTGGAACCAAGAGCGTCATAAGCTCTGCCTCCAGTCTGGGGGGTCTGCAAGCCAGTGATGTTCCCCTTTGATGGCTGATCCATTTGCCATGGCAGCTTGCGCCTGGTGGATGGTGTCGCATATTCGGACGTCTTGGCTGCCTTGCTTGGAGTATCGGCCGCAGCTCTCAGCTCGTTGTTGAAAGCATTATCCATCTGCCCAAGGCCATACTCATCGTCCGAGTCAATTGAGATATGGGCTCGTTTGCGACTGGATCCCGATGCCCCCGTGTCGACAGTGTAGGGTGGAGGAGGAGATGACCGGTGCTTCGACGGAGTCACAGGGCCAGGCTCAGTACGAGCGTTGGCAGACAAGGCGGCAGCTTCACGCGGGTGAGCATCCGTGTCCCAAAGAAAGAATTTGCATCGCGTTTCGTCGGTCTGTTGCTTCTGACAGGAGCGAACTAGGCACTGTTAGTAACTAGCTGGTATGACGGCGGGGAAGTGGGTCTTTACACCAACGACCCTTGTTGACGCCCTGCTTTTTAACCTCAAAATGGACTGCCGGCTTGCGGGGAGTGCAATCGCCTGTGTAAGCCGTCAGCGTCGTCGTTGAGTAATACTGTTGTTGTTGCCTTACAGTACCAAACCCCGTTTTGGAACAAGCCCTTTGGAGGACCTCGGCCTTTCGAAGTAGACATGGCTGGTGATTGTTGCGCGTTATTAAAGGAAGGGAGCTTTGTGTTGCAGCGACAACTCCCCCCAACCCTTACTCGCGATATTGTTCTCTACTTTGAGGTTTGTACGAAGTACGTGGCTGGTGATGGAGGGCTGGCAAGAAGCTTGGACCCTCCAGCTGGACCCTAGTCTAACTACATGTATCACGAGGGAACATGTGGGCCCATGGCTTCGGTCCGTTTAGAAGGCTTCCCATCCATAACCATATTCATACTTCAACATGATCGTGACGTTTGAGCCTATCCTCAACATCCCCAGGCCCTTAAGACAAGTCGCGTCCAAAAGCGCCATGTTCATCATGTGATCGGCATTGCCGGGGTCTCGACCAAATAGCCTTGCGCCTCCTCTCCCTTCCTGTCTTCCACCCAATCCCGCCCTTCCCTCCTTCAGCTGCATCCCGCCTCCCTTGGCGGCGCATTCCTAGTACTACGCGAACAAGTCCTGTCCGCATGAAATGCCACGGTTCCACCACTTCTATCACTCTTGCGCCTGCCAGCCGGAGGCTGTTGAACCGTCGCAATGCTTCTTCGGTCCTTTAGGAGAATTCCGCCGTCGCTCCTGCTAGTCGTCCTATTTCTAGCCTTCTTCGGATGGCAGCTCAGCCAGGGCACGAAGCACGAGGAGGGCCCAGTGGGCCACGAGGTCGTTCCCCAAGAAGAGAAGACGGGGCCCCGCATCGCGATCATGACCTTTGTGACGGAGCAGCGATCATACCTGCATATAGTTCTCAAAAATAAGGACCGTAAGTAGCCTTCAGCCTCATGTACCACCTGCCCAAAGCTCACATGTGCTAGACTATGCGCGTCGCCATAACTACGATCTCATCCTTGACTACGAACATCACAGCGAGCGCGGCGTGATGTTTTGGAAGTTCGAAATGGCAGAGCGCCTCATCAAGACAGGCAAATACGACTGGATATGGTGGATGGACTTTGACACATTGATCACGAACACAGACATCAAGGTCACCGACGTTATACACGATGCACTGGAGTCAGTCCCGAATCCCGAAGACATCGACTACATAATCACGCACGACTGCAACGGTTTTAACGGGGGCTCATTTTTGATCCGTGGCCACGAGCGATCGCTGAAATTCATGCATGATTCAACAAAGATACATGACGATGCGAAGGCTGCGGACATCAACATGAGCGAGCAGGACTCGATCGTCAAGCTCATGCGTGACGACCCAACGTCAATGGATGGGGTGCTTGTGATACCACAAACGAAATTAAATGCATTCCCCACGGAGATCTCTTGCTACGACGAAGAGAAGAAAGCATGGGAGCATGGCACATTCGTCTTACATTTCGCCGGCGCCTGGGCGTATGTCAAGGGCGAAGATCCTACGGGCTACTTGATGAAGAAGTATGACTCTGAAATTATGTGGGGTGATTGGAAGCAGTTTTACTGATTGAAAGTGAGGAGATGGGGAGTTTCCTGGCGTTCCAATGATATCTTTTCGACTTTCACTAGTAGTGTTGTTGCTCGAACGTTTGTTGTCGGGTTGTGACTAAGCTCACTCCAACAACTGATGTCATCTGTAGCGGCTAAGGAGCGCGTTCTACGCACGCTTTGTTCCTTAAATCAGATTTTTTTTTCGTCTTCATGCATACTCTGTTCTACCCAAATGTCTCGCTACTTTACCAGGTCCAGTGTTCGCTCAACTGTCAACACAGGTGACGAAATCCTCGACCTAAGCCTCGACACAAGCCTCGAAAACGAGTCTATATCGTCAATAAATCCTGTGTAAACTTACCGTGTATCTGCGTAGTATATCACGCTGACAACAAACACAGCACTCTGCGTAACCAGCAAGAGTCGCCTCTTCTTCAGCTCCCCGGTGAGCTGCGCAACAAGATATATGAATACATTTTCAACCCTCTCGCTATCGAGTGCAACAGATGGACCGTCTTTGCAGGCAGTATGGACAGCGAACGCCCATGGAACCGGTTCCTGCCTAGTGAAATGAGGGAAGAGGAGTGGCAGAACGGATTGTGGGCCAGCGGCAGCTACAAATCCAAGCCCAACAGCGACAATTTCAGGAACAGACTCCCGATAATGTCGCAACTGTTCATGTCTCGAGTTTTCCATCAGATACATGCGGAGACAGTTCAACTTATCATTCCCAAGGCGGTTTTCTATTTCACTGACTCCTTTGCGTTCCGTATTTTGCAGCGCGCAACCACAAAAGCCCTGAACGCTGCGATCGCTGCTGTTCGACTGTCTTTGAGTGATGCGAAGATGATCGGGTTGAGGTATAAGTTTCCAGAAGTCCGTCAGCCTTGGATTCCCCACTTCGGACTCGATAAGCTTAAAGGCCTGGAGCGTATTCTTCTTGAGGATTTTGAGTGGGCCAATTCTGAGATTGACAAGGAATGGGTTCGTGGTGGCATCAGAATCTGCAATGGTGGGGATCGGGATATTGACACTGTTTTCGGCGGAGACTGAATCTCAAGACAATGTGATTGGGGATTTCCATAATACGATAGCGGCAGATTGGCAATGAACCCATAGGCGTCTTTGAGTCCAACCGTCACCAGTTAGTTATACAAGTAATTAGTCGACAAGAGGAAAGTGAGATATCACACTAAGCTCATCAATTCGAGTTCCGTGATGTGAATCTACCTAGATGCCTCTACCCTTGTACCTATGACGCAGACTACCAGGAATCAACGCTAGTCAAACATGCTTCCCATACTTAAGCTGCACCCGTTCTTGAACTTGTGATCTCCGCTACTGTAGTACTCAACTACAATACAGCGCGGAACCTCGAGCATCACTAATTTTGCCGCAATGTCGTAATTGTCAGAGCGCAATACATTGATTACATCTGGAGCCATCGAAGTGTAAGCTTACAAGAAACTACAGCCTGTCAAAATTGTAGCGAGTTGCTGACATTGAATCAGTGTAGCACGCAACAAAACACAGTCGCCCCTACTTCGTCTCCCTGCAGAGTTTCGCAATCACATATAGAGCTACATGTGTGGTGAGCTCGCCATCTCCCTAGGAAACAACTAAGGCGGTCAGGACTACTTGGTCGCGCAGGAGGGCAGAGTCACTTCCTCCTCGCGAGAGCTTCATTATGTCTGCCGCATCATGTTTGTGTGTCGCTGCCTGTACAAGGAGACGCGTCTCCTTCCCTTCCAGCTCAAATCGTTCTGTCTTACTTCAAGCAGCGTGTATACCTTGAGCTTTTCACTCCCAGAGGTGTTCCGAAATGCCCTCACAGTCTTACGTATCGACTACAGCATTATGCGATACTTCAAGAAACCACCAAGATTTACCCCGCACCACTCAAAGGGGGTTGAGGGATTGAAGCTTGTTATTGTCCAAAATTGCCCGCGCAGGTCGCTTGCCCACGTGCGTGCGGTGTTCGAGAACCATGATATCAAGGTTTATTGCGAGTTCGCTACAGAATGAGCACCGTGCTGTAAGTCTGAAGATGAAGGGGTACGGGAATGAAGGATAATCCGTTGCCTCAGCTGGCTCAAATTCCTCGGGGCGTACAGAAATATGAGATACAGGAATCCAGATGTCTCCCATCAAGTGACTCTTCTACAATATTTTATCGTGCCGAGTCTAACATAGCTCGGACATTGATCAAGACACGCTAAAACATTTCCAATACATATTTATTACTAACATCTACAGATTTATAAGTTACTGGACCCATTCTGCGCAGTACAGAGAACAACACTACCCTCAATTCCTGCTTGTCAACGTTCGACAAAGCTAGGCTTATGGAGTTGCCACAATCGGCCAGAGAAAAACGCCTGGTCGTTCACTGGAGACTACTCAAGAATGCTTGATAGTCCACCTGACAGTTGACGTTCCGATGCCTCTGTTGTCGCACTCCGTCTGTCCCTGAGAAGCAACGACGCCACCAGACTTTTTATTGTCAGCAGAGAAACTAGGCACTTGATCAGGGGAGCTAGAACATACCTGCCACCTATTGAGAGCAAGTTCGGTGATGTCGGCGATGTTCGAAGACCCAATCCAGGTTTCATAGATGTTCCGAGTGCCTGCTTCGAAGACACAGGTGCCGTAGTACAAGAGGCCGTGTGTGTCGGGAGTGTTGTCCCAAACGCCCCAGTAGCTGTTCTGAGTGCGGGTCCCTGGGGAATGGTCAGTCCATCGCTCAGTCGGACATAACTACTCTAGAGCAATGAATTCGGGTTTTTGCAGGCTTACAGTCACGAATCACCGCGCAGTCTGCGGTATTGGCGAAAGGAGCAGGATGAGGGTCGAGAGTGGTGCCATCACAGGTGTCAGAGTCAGGGGCATTGTTGTTGAGAATAGTGACGTCCGCCCCCTTAGCGGGGTTTGCAGACACGGCTACTACTGCACTGTTGAGATAGAGTGTCTTGCCATTGAATTCGATCGGTATCCATTGAATTGCGGCAGTAGCGGCAGAAAGGGGCTCAGGAGCTGGAGCTGGAGCTGCAAAGGACAGAGGGAGTAGGGCCAAGGTGGAGATACTGAGGAGCTTGGAGTAGATCATCTTGAACAATGAAGGTTGGTAACTGTCAGGTGTCGAGGGTTTAGTGATGCTGTTGATGCTGTTGATGCTGGTGCAAGATTTGTCTCGAGGTGGCAGCGCCTTATATAGGAAAACATGAGTAAGAGACTCTATCTTGGAGACGCAATAAAAGCCTGAAATTCCGAGTTAGGTAGGCATTCTATCCTGACGCAGTCATGCTGCTCTCTGCCAATGATCTAGATGCAAGATAGTTCGTAGCAGACCTTCAAGTGTGCCTCGTGTCTGCGCTGAACTTGAAGTAAGCTTCGTATCTGTGCAGGACTTAATTGTTTCTACGCAGGTGAGCATAAAAATGCTCACGGACGTCCTTTTTCAGACGGGATGGTAACTTACGGGCAGTGGCTCTGACTGTACCGCGTTGAGGGGTATTCATGATCGCGTGTTACTATATTGATGGCATGAAGCCAGATCCTGGCATGATGTCTACGTTGATAGCTTTGTATTACACACTTAGGGTCGTGAAAGATTGAACTTGTGATTGAACGATCCAGATTTCTGAGATGGTGACCGGTGACGAACCTAAAATCTGAATCTCACCTTAGAAGAAGGCAGCGATGACAGGTACCTACCCTTGTATCTAGCATGCACATAGACCTAGTGCAAAGAAAAGATGAATTGATCACTTTGGGCATGTTGTGCATGCGTGCAGGGGTCTGGCGTGAGTAGGTATTGAGCGAATAGGAGCTCAACCGAGGTGTGCCAAGATTAGGGAACTTCCCCCTCCCCTCTCGTCTCTCGCCCTTTGTAAGATATCTTAGCTCTCAATAAATCTCTCGATATAGTCTTGTGATAGCTAGTTGTTAAGAGCTGTCTTGTGTTAAGTATTTGAAATGATGTCCAAAGTCTGACATCCCGAGGTCATGCCAGACGCTGTCACAATCTCAAGTCTGACATGCTGCTGTCACTATTCCAGATATCTCAAAACATGCCTAGCCGCCAAACTCAGGCGATGGATTGATATCACAATGACGAGGAACCTATGGAACGCGGTACGGGACTAGCCTCAAGCTTGCCATAGTTGAATATCTATCCATGTACTCATGTCCATATACCACAATGGACCGTCGAGAGAATGAACTCGGAGTCGTGCGTCTAGTACGATTGTAGGTTGAGACCCAACCCGTATGCAGATTTTCCAGCCACAACTATACATCGGCTTGGCATAGAAGGGTCTAGGCCCCGGATCGCGCAGCATGTCAGAAAGCCTCGCGACTAGCCCCTTGATGCAGGTCTTTGGTATACGAACTTTTGATTCTGTGAGAAAAATTGCGCGCCTAGCGCGGACAACGCAAGTCTATGGTTTCTGGTGTAGGAGCTCTCAAAGCTTCACGCCAACACGCCTCGTGGCAATACCCTGAAGTGTGAGCTACTGCGTGAGCCAACCGAAAAGGACGTGGTCAATTTGGTGAGGTACTATCACCATGGGACGGTTCGTGCGAGCGACCAGGACGAAACTATCCGCGGGAATCTGCGCTGAGGCCTAGACGTAACGAGAGCACCAAACTACATACCGGAAAGCTCGATACAGCCTCCAAGCAGCACTGTTCGTTCTGTCTCACAAAAAGACCGAAGCAGTGTCGCAGCATATGAGTCACCACACTCTGAGATGTGCATTCACTACAATAGGATGCACGGGAGAGCGGTTGGCCAAGTTGAAGCTGCGCAAAGTATCCGATATCGAAATCTTTCGCAAAACTCCCCAGGAAAACTTCGCGGAATTTTACCAAATATTGCTTACTCGTGTCAATCAATGCGGAAGAAGATATTCTCCAGCGGCGGAAGGTGGAGGGAACCGAACTCTACAATGTTGTCGTCGAGGCACTCTTGCAATTGCTATAAGAAGGTTGCAATATCAAACTTGCATGCACACTGTCTCGCATCGTTAAGATCTAATCCGCCCATGGTATACATTTTGGCTCAGGCAGAAAGGGTCTTTATCAGGGAAAAGTATCGTGCTGAGTGAAACGTTCTAGCTTCGGTACGGCCCATCCCTCGCTCCGCCGCGGCTGTAGTACGGCTCTGTCTCGGACCGCTGCGGCCTTGTTCCCAATGATATACAGGGACATCAAATACCGAGCCATATCCTGGTAAATCCTAGCCATCACGAGTACCTACATATCAACGTGGTGGGCCTAAAGAAGCACTAGTCGCGTTCTGAGACCTATGAATGAATGGGAGCCGTTCTAGCTATCTAGGTCCACTAACGATGCATGGGCTAATTCCCTGAGCTCCTCGCAATGAGTTGAGCTTGTTTGATGCTTGAATCTAGATCTGTACCTGAATTTCCTGCTCAGTCTAGCGGTGATCCATGCTGCAACTCATTGTAAACTATAACTTCGAACACAGGGTCGTTCCGTCAATACATCCCCACCGCATGTCCATCCCGTATACTCCTACCATGTCCGGACTCCGAAGTGGACTCCGAAATTCCGTCTTACTCTCTCCTGATCATGAATGAAACGTTAGTGTGTTTCTTTGTATAACAGCCAAGGCGGGGGAATTTGTCCAACCCGATCTTGCTTATACCTTTGGAATGGCTCTTGCATGAGAAGAACGCCAATAACCCGGCCAATGCGGGGGAAATTCTGGGGTATAAGAAGAGGTGCAGTGGCCAGAATATAAAATGCGGTGAAGGGAAGACCGACCGGAAGGTACAGAATAGAGAAAGCGGGTGGCCTGATCAGTGAAGCGGCGAGGACGCGCCTCAGACACGCCTTTACTTCGGGCTGGAGGGTAGAATATCAGAAGACTACATTGATCAGAAATTAACTCGACTTAGCCCTGGTAGAAATTGTATGCATAAACTCGCAGCATTGTCACCAAACAGGGCCGTCATTTGACTTGATGAATTCCTGACGGTTTCCTCCATTGAAGTTAGATTCAAGCCAGAGGGCGTGGAGAGCCAAATCAAGACTGAACTAGAAAAAAACTCGGAGTTTTCCGATAAAATTGATCGCCTTGATGCATCTGCGAGTAGGTGAGATTTTGGAACAATATTGGCTCGAGGAAGCGATCAGCTCGGAAGCACCTCGGACGTCAAAGTCTTAGCACACCCTGGGCAGAATTCAAACAAATTAAAAGCAGGCCTCTAGCGGTTTTACATTAGAATTATGACGATGCTATACACACGGTAACCCCTGAAACGTTTTTACATATAAGTATTGTCTGTCTTCTTGGATTAACCGAGCATCATCATCCACGATTTACTAAAACGATTTACCAACACCTAAATCTTTACCAGCACCTTTCGGCATCACTTCACCATGAAGTTCACTTTCGCTGCTGTTATCTCTGCTATTGTTGCTGTCGCGGCAGCTCAGCAGAACTGTAAGAAGACTTCCGAATGATTTCAACTTCCAGTGCTAAGAGACCTACAGGTCGAACAAGCGCCGATTGCCCTCCTAACGTCGTCTGTCGCCTTTATGGTCAGTCATACGTTCTCGTATTTATGAATGATCGCATAGCTACTAATTTGTTACTACAGCCAGTGGAGCCCGCACTTGCGGTTAGAGAAGGGGCACTATCCAGGATGTTCGGATTATCTCGATGGTCTTCAAGTGTGAACAAGTTACAGCAAGAGACGAATCGCTGGAACGAAAGATGCCAAGTTTCATACGAGAGGTCATTCTATCGGGTCGACACCAGCTTTTCCAAAACACGAAAGCCTCTCCCAGGGTAGAATCGATGCGTAGATAATCCAATGCCTTCCTTCGATCTCTAGGCAATGCTATGTTGTGGCTCGAATCACATGGTTATGACTGACATGCACAGCAAACACATAGTCGCAGAACGATCATCTTACTACATTGAAACAAGAGGCTGGCTAACATTTGAAGCGACCAATTACGAAGAGATGAATGTAACATATGCTGTGGAATGATTCTTTGCGCTTTACGTGACATCCACCTCTAATTATAGTGTCAAGTTGTGTTCAACCCCGAGCGTACACACTCCAGGCCTCCTCTTTACCCGTCTCGTTCAGCCATCGGTCCATGTGATATGTTCCTCTATCATCCTTCTTGTATTTGTTCTTCGTTCTAGAATTCTCTGTACTGATGGTGTGGGAATCTTTGCTCTTTAAGCTCTACGAATGAAAGCTGTCAGTTTCTCGGTTTCCATAAGAGATTGGTGATGAGCTGTACTGGGACCGCAATGGGTTCGTTCGATGCAATCTTAGCCTTGGTCATGGTTCAGAGAACTGTCTGGTCGAATATCAAGTAGCTTGAATATTGATCTGGTGAGATTTGAAATTGCAAACGACAATTTATCAATGTCCGAGTCCATCCTCGACTGTTCTTTACTTATATCGCAGAAATTTCAAACCTTTGGGGATAAATCACGGCCGCAAGTCTTTTCTACAAGGTAGCGTATTGGTGGCCGCTCTTTGCATGCAAGGATGGGGACGTTGGCATACAAGAAGCAAAGGCTTACGATGAGGGCCGCAGAGCTAGAGGCTCGATCTACTAAGTATGATGTGGCCCTAGCTCCGATTCAGCTGCATAACATTGGTGGCCGCAGGTGGTAAATTGTTGGTTGGATTGATGTGGCGCATCCAGTGGCAGATCGAATCATGAGGCTCGAAGCTAACTCGGGGCCGCAAACAACTATTGTTCATTGCGGCAGGCTGGAGGCTACAGGAAAAATATTATTGGAGGCCGCCAAAGTGCAATTTTACCAAGTACATCAGGAACGTAAGTCGGGCCATACCTACAAGGGAAGATTTTAGCGATTGGTCGAGCGAAGGAGCCGCAGCAACACTATGCCCGCATCTCAGCCTTGCTCTTCGTTTTGAATATTTCTTCATACTTTCCATTCTTACGCATTGCATGAATCATCGGGAACGCATCGCTCTGCAAGCCACTAGTGCTTTACGGTACCCTTTACATTCAGATATTGGTTAACATGGCACTGTCCAAGCACAAGGCTTCAGCCCTATTCCAATCATATAACCAACCTCAGCCGTATTCTTACGGACTCAATGTCTGGAATAAGTTCGAGGATTATGGCTCTCTAGGATTTGCAGCATGGCCGACACTGCCTCCGCGATTAAGCCCTCATGATGCCTCGACCTTGAGTCTATCAAATTTCAGTAGAATTTGGACACTACCACACGGACCAAAAGCCTCAGAAGATACATACGCTGCGTCGTTTCAGAAACTCGTGAATGCGTTATTCAATAACCTACGCTACAATGTCAAGGTGTCTCATAGTGCCTTCCGAGTGTTCAAGAGCAAGGCACAACAGCTCAAAGATAAATACCAGCGAATGTTCGAAAACTTCGAGAGCCACAGGGAGCGAGGTGAATTGTTCTATGATGACATGGATAACCCGCACATCGGACAGTATCGAATGTATGAGCAAATCCTTCGACTTTTCGAAAATGTGCCTCCATTGGACAGAGTTAAAACCTACGGGAAGAGGATCGGACGAATCCTGACTTTATTGAAAAATTTAGACCAACGACAAAAACAACAACTCTTGTCTATGGAGACCTGGAGCTCCGCCGTATTTGCCAACTGCAGGGTGGAAATGCGTCTAACGCTTTTTGCAGAAGCCAGTCAACGTAGAACGCTGATTGTGACGACTGAGCATGGTCGAGACGATACCGCAACCTCCTACTACGATGCAAAAGAAGTGCAAGAAGGGCAGAACGACAGTGATGTCAGCGGTCAATTATCACTGAAGCTCTGGCGGAGATCCGCAGGCCGAAGCAAATCATGGAGAAGATGTCCAAAGACAAGGCTTGCCGGCTCCGAAAGGCATGTGAAAATTTTGCAGCCTTCACATCATGATGGCTACCAGTTCTTTCAATCACCATTGTGGATACCATCAGCATACATACGCTCCCGAGGATTGGAACGATCTACAAAACTGGCAAGATATGTGCAGAGGCACGAGTCGCGTGGCCAAACTGAGCATCAAGACGTCGATATCGATCATGACATCAATGTTCTCGACGTGGATGAGGTGGCACATGGAAGTCACTCTCCACCCGCTTCTGATCTCAATTGTGAGGACGACCAAAGCTCGGTATGTACGCTCCGACAAGACATGTCTCATAACTGGTTCCGACGAACAAGCTGACGAATGCTTGAAAAAAAGGACATAGATCTTTTTCTGCGGGGCGAGCTCATATCACGGAGAGGTTGGCATGTGTGCCACAAATTACGCAGAGATGTGCATGCGGATGTATACCTTCTCAGACCGACAACAGATCACGATGGGAGACCTGAAGCACATGTCTTTCACGAAGCGCTCTGCGCAAAGTCACAGAAATACCAACAACAGAAAAAGAAACGCCTGATTGACAGCAAAGACTACTTAGACAGCTTTTGGCTTGATGATAGAAACATCGTAGTGATGGATTTTCCAGGACTTAGGTTGCAGGATTCCGGGGAGTTCCCAGCTCTTTTTGTTCGTAAAGGTTGGTCGAATAAGGCGGGTCGACGACAGCATGGAAATGGTAAGATGATTACGTATGCGTCGGTGCTTAAGGGTACACCTGTGAAGCGAAATACTGCAGAAGAGTTGCTCAGAACAAAAAAGAGGGTAAAGCAAAAGGAAAAGAGACAAAGCCAGCGGGACTCTAGAAGATCATTAGCGCTGCTTGATGAGATGCCTATGGACGTCAGCGAGTTGTAGCAAGGTAGGTAGAGTACCGGAGTAGCGGCAGCGGATCGAATATCTGTTCATTGCATTGTGGTCATAGCAGATTAGAGCGTGGAAATAATAAATGAAGGCTAGAACGTTTCAAATGACAAGGGAAAACTGATGCTAAATACAACAGGCGAACGCGTTTCGCGATCCTAACCTGATTCGTTGCTGGAGTGATCGAGTTGCCCATGGGCAAGAGCAGTGTTACTCACACTACCTCTATCGTCACCGATAGGATATCCTGTCCGCGCCACGTCTGCCAGGCGCACCTTGCGTGCAATCAACTGACTCTTTGGCGGCGGCTCCCTGTTGAGAACATCGTAAGACGTTTTGATGAATTTCTGCCAACTAGGCCACATGGCCTGCATCTCAACTGACGACTTCAGCCTATAGATGCCTGGCAACCTGAGAAGACAACAACATGCTCGCCAATGTATACCCCCCGATTATGAACCCTTCTCTTAGTGTCGAATTGCGGTCACGACTTCCACAATCCACTCCATCAATAGCAACAGAGGTCAATGATGACACAACTGTCTTGCACTGTCCAACGCGAGAAGGACCAATCACGGTTCACAACACCCCAAGGTATAATCGCGACCTCTCGAAAGAGGGTTTTTAGAGCTATGATCATGCTAACATGGTCACGCCCTATCCTTCGACAGAAGTGTCCTAAATGATGGTGTCATGCACCAGATATGAGTAACGTTATCCAAAGATACATGAATACGCTTAAAATCGCAATCGCAATCATTGCTGGAGAGAGTTGGAGAAGGTACAACGACTCGACAGGAGTGCCGGTTGTTATGTGGTTGCAAGAAGGAAGTATGCAAACTCGTCATTGACTGTGCGTCCGCATGTGGCGTATGAGAGAGTCTTTCCGCGTGTAAACCTTCGGGCAGTGTCTGCACGCGAAGGGATTGGCTTGGGTGCCCACGGTGTCGGGTCCAGATTTGGGTTTTTTGCATGCCGGCAATGCGTTCTCGTGTCCTTGATGACGATGGAGATCTTTTTTGTACTTGTACTTCTTATCGCAGCCATCGCAAGAAAACGACGGCTGACAGCCAAGAACACGCAAGTGTTTCCTATACTGCGAGGGAGACGGGTATGCTTTCTTGCATGCTGGACAGACAGATTTGTGTTGTACAGGAGTAATCTCCATCTTGCCGTCTGGTGCATCACTGTGAGCCTCGCCACTGCTCGAGGAACTTGCTGTCTGCGGAGGCGCCGGGCGAGGGCACCTAGAGAAAAGCTCTTCTCTCCTGCTACTGTGACTTCCTTGGAAAGAGTTTGGGGCCGGTAAAGGTAGTTGTACTTCAGGATAGTAAAAGTCCAACATGGATTGCGATTGAGAATTTTGGGCCAAGGCTTCTATGGCAGGCTGACTGATTTCTGACAGGGAGTAATTCTGATGTTCATGCTCCTGTGTGGCTAACAGACAAGGATCGATATACTCCAGAGGTTTTGATAAACACTCAGGAAGCACATCGTCCATAAAGTCTGTCCACCTCCACGGGACATGTAGCGAACGACCATCGTTACTCTCCAAAAAGGTATCAGATATCCGACCAGCTATCGTAGAAGTAGAATTATGTATCGATTCATTAGGACGGAGAAGTGAGGCTTCTGCCGTATAGGAATAGGGCGATAGACCGAAATGTCTTATGCGATGATCACTGGCAATTGTTTCAGCACAATGTCAGAATTCAAGGCTTAAGTATCGACACGTACTAGTTGTAGGTATTGATTGTGTGAGCGGCCTACTTTGGGCCGCCTCACAGTACCTAGCGGTGCAGAAAATGCCGGAATCGCACTGAAAAGTGCTCGATTGTAGAAGGGAAAAGAGCGCAGATGACGTCTTGCGGTGCAGTTGAGGAGCTCAGTAGCTTGAACGGAGAGCTTTGATAATCAATGCGCAGAAAGTGCGCTGAGAAAGCCTCACCTGGGCAGCCTCTACGGCGGGAGAGGGGGATCGTGTCTGCAGTGGCTGCAGAAGAGAAGACGAAATTCAAAGTTGAAGGGGTTCGCAAGTAGGTGTAGGTCAGACGCCGAGCTTTCGAGACGCCTCTGGTTGGTGGCCGCAAGGGGAGGACAACGGAAAAGTGGGACGTGCATGGTTGCTGCAAGCCACCAGCGATACGAGAGTACTCCGCCTCGAAGGGTAGGAAGACCTCGCCCATTCCAATAGTGTGTCAGAAATGTCGGCGGCATAATTGATTGTACATGAATTGTATCGATGTTTCTAATAGTCTTGTAGGACTTGTGTGCTCGATGTTTCGACTTGCAACACTGCATCGTGCATAATGGTACGAAGCGTATGCTCGCAACCAAATAACTCCAATGGTGCATCGTACCAGGACAAGTAAGGCGCGCGCACTCATTTGTTGTGCCAAACCAGCGTTCGTAACGAATCCCAATCATCCGACTGAACATAACTGTCATGTCATTAGCCTTCATCCAAACGCCAAGTATGCAAAATACCCACATATAGCTCATACTACTCCTCAAACTGCTCTGCACGCTCTCAGGATGCCACCTGAAAATATACATAACCATCGCCCAACTCAAACTCGCAAAAACCGGCCATCCATTCCTCGCCATCGACCTCCTCAACTCCCCGTTTCCAAACAACTCAAACCCACCTCCGCCCTCTTTGCCAGCAGCATGCCGTTGTTGCACTGCGAGCTTGGCTAGGGCCAAACATACACGTGCGGCGACGTATATGACGATCTGCTGCGACACCGAGTTGTGAATCGTGCGGCCGAAGACCGTGTATCCGCCCGCCAACCCCGCGAGGAAGGCGTCATAATGTCGCTCCTTCCCTGTGGGCGAAGTGTGTTTGAGCAATAACATGCAGGACTTGTATACGAGCGCGAAGAGGCCGAGGTTGCGGGCGTGTTGGCGCGTGGCTTTGTAGACGAGGAACAATTTTGAACGGAAGCTGCCGGAGCGGAAAAGCATCATCATGCTAGAGTGATGAGTTAGATTTGGAGCATTGGCGATGGGGATACTGGGGAGACGTACACGAGTGCGTGTGGGAAGCGCACTTTGCAGCCGTACACGATGCCATTTCGCACGCCTTTTACCAGCGTGAGGACGTCGTGGTATTTGGGGTCGAGGACGATCTTGTCGAGCGCTGCTTCCAGCGCGTGTAACCGGTCCATCTTGGAAGTTGTGAATGTGAACGTGAACGTTGTGTTTGTATCGTTATCGTCGCAAAACCAGAGCGTCAACCTCGGTTCGATGACGTTTGCCGTTATCTTGGGCGGCAATGACCGAATGAAGAAGATATCGCAAGTGAACGAAGAGAAAGTAGGAAAGACGAGACCTGAACCATGAGGCTGAAGTTTGAGCCGAAAGCGAAGGGATCAAGCATGGTAGAGTCCCGGGATGAATTGCAGCTGACCGAGGTTCGCGCGTCACCTTGCCGGTCGCAGCTTCCCCACATCGATCTCGCGCTAGCGCCCGTGAATCGACCAGGGGTGTTGGCATGTGAAGATCAAGGGTCGATGGATTTACATGTGCTTTGTTTCGTGTTAACGCTTTCAGTTGTGATGAGGCTGTAGTTCATAATTATTGTTCTATCAATCATTGTTCTATCCAAGTGCATGATGCTTGCTGTCAATGGTATCTCTGTGCTGCAGTCCCATGCAATGCTTTTCCGTACATACTCCAAACGCCATATGCTGTTACGTTGTCTCTTTCAAATGGTACACCAAATGCCGGAATGCTTCACTCAAGCCTCCTCTCGGGCCAGCGCTTCTTCAACTCTTCATACACCGTAAAGATGAACGCAGAACTGGGAATCGATCTGCCAACTGTGATACCACAGCCACGGTACATACCTTTGATACCGTGCTGTTTCCAGAGCGCCTTTCCGACTGCACCAAATGTAGATTGACCGCCGGTAAGCTTCTTGACATCCTCCGTCTGCATACGAGACTTGATGGTGTCTGCTGGGTAGAACATGAAGTTGTAAGCGGCACCTGCGACTGATCCAGATGCCATGCGCTGCCAGACCGGCAGGTCATCGTCGTTTTTCGCCGACTTGTTGCTCTTCTTGAACAGCATCTTCATGCCTTCGTATCCACCAAACCATGCCGCGCCACCGCCAGTCTCGCGGATAAAGGTCCCGAATTGGCCGTGCCAGTAGCCGAGGACGCCCTGATGGCGATAGATGGAGGCTATGACACTGAGAATGCCAGGCTGTGACACAACACGGCCCGAGGCTTCCACGGGTACCTGCATCTTGCATTTGACCAGTTCAATCGGAGTCAAGAAGAGGGACGTGATTGCACCTGCAACCATGCCACAATACAACATTCCAGTGTAAGGCAGATCTTTTTCGGGGTGTCTCTTCAAGTCAGGATAGACCCCAGAGGCTTTCAGGGCATCGCATGCGATGCGATACTACAGTCATTAGCATACTTTGTAGACCGTGTTATGAGGGTGATGCTCACACTGAAGAACAGTGTGCTGGTCTCAACTGCAGCTCCCACCAATGGCGCACTGATGCCTCTATAGATGCCGAGGAACCCATCTCTTTGCAGGGACTTCTTGAAGCAATCCAGCGGGCCGGTATATCTTAAGGGTACGGTGTCGGGTTGGGATTGAAGGCGGACTTTGACCGTGTCAAATGGGTACTCGATGTACTTGCCGACGACACCAGCCGTCGACCCGCAGACAATGTCTTTGATGGCCTCTTCTCCTTGTCCACTTGTATGTTCGACTACCTCCTGGCGCTTTTCTTCGGCCCCGGCTGAATTCGATAGGCCTTTCCTGACCCCCACCGCCGACACCGGACTCCCGTGTACTTCCATGGATTGCTTTCAATATGGGCGTATTGTGGAAGATGTATGGATTATTCGTGTATAGGATGTGTCATGAAGAGGTAATCATGGTAATATGAGCGAAGAGTCGAGCAGGCGGTGAGGAGGGCGTTGTATGCAGTTTACGCCATCAACTCAGAGTGATGATGATATGTGCTGCAGGACCGGTGTGAAGATTCGTGAGTGGTCGAGGACGCAGAACCCGAGGTGGTACAAGGAAACTTGGTACGGGAGCAAAGTGCGGGTGTGACGCTGGTGTGCTGGGTGAATGCACAAACGGGAGAAGGGTGAATGTGCAAAAAGGCGAGCTGAGCCCAACGCTGGGCGAGGACGCAAAAGTTTTCCGATTAGCCTACCTAGGTACGGAGATGCTGCTGCAATCAGAAGCGAGGGACAAGGAGCGGAAAGCGCGCAGCGCCGTGAATCTAGAATACGGGTGCAAAGATTAAGTGTAACGAACAATAAAAGGCGCATCCACAAGGTCCCAGAGCGACGTAATCGTACAATCTTATCAGATCAGATCCTGCAATCATCTTCTCTCATCATCGCGGGGGTGCCGTAAACGTCCTAGCGCCCTTGTGCTATCGATATCGGCTAAAGTTTTCGTTCGCCGACAAGTTCGACATGTTTAGCACGGCGATAGCAGCACATAGCAAACAGCGCCGCCAACATGTCTGAAGCAGTAGAAACCCAGCCGCCTGCCGCGGACACCGTGAGCGCCGTGAAGGGAATGAAGAAAAACGGTACCTACCCCACCTTGGACCCACGAGACGTTCCACAACTGACCGGAATCTTCACAGGCAAGCAATGGCACGACAACAAGACCGCGTTCAGGCCCCGGGCCAATCAGACATCCTGGGATAAGCGCACAGCAGAGAGGAAGGCGCTCGCAGCGACTAAAGCAAAAGAGAAGGAGCTGAAGGAAGAGAAGGAGACAGAGCGACAAGTGCGTTCTTGTGTTACGTCGCGAAAACTCTTAAACTGACTGTAATTCAGCGTCGAATTGATGCTATCAAAACCAAACGTGCGGCAAAGGAGGAGCGTGAGAGATTCCAGAAGATGGAGGAGAAGATGCACAAGAGGCGCGTGGAGCGTCTGAAGCGGAGAGAGAAGCGCAACAAGATGCTGAAGTCTTGAACGTGAAGCAGGACAACGATTGGGTGGAACTTCATCGCGCAACCGCTATTGGCAAGAACGACAGAACGGCGCGCCGAGAGTGTCCTTCGGGAGAGCTTGTCGTTACGGTGACTGCGAATGTTTGCGCGCGTACGACAGCGGACAGGTCTTATTTTAGGATGGCGCATGACAATGCCCATGCGACCACAGACGGGAAAGTGCAAGCTACAGCGTGCCGTGTTCACGCAAATGCGAAGCGAGTGATTCGAGCGCAGGCAACTCGGGCGCATACCAAGTAAAGCTGGTGTATTTGACCACACTTTGTGTCGAGCACGATTCGTTCATGATGCCAATTCTGAATCAAACAACGTCTTATCTAGTTACCAACCCCGCAATACCTGTCACTGTGTATGAAATGTCCACCATGTTGCATGTTGTCGTGAGTTGCAATCAAAAGGTGCACGGTCAACATGACCCTGGAACGCGCGGACATGGTCACCACGTCTCTGCGCGCTAACACTTCCAGCACTCGACCACCACCATGAAATGGCCCAGACGCCCACTTTGCATGCGGGCCTGGCAAGCCACCAGTCTTTCCGCCAGAATCTGTACCACGCGCCCTCGGCATCCCGAGTGAGTGAACTCGCGACATCCAACAGCGAAGAAAAGCCGTCAAAGCACGACAAGCACGACAAGCACAAGTCACACCGACACCGCCACCACAGCAGTCGCCATGACAAGGACAAGGAACACCGCCACAGCTCAAGCCGCCGACACGCAAGAGAAGTCGTGCAGTCGGCCATACAACTACAACCGCCAACGAGCTTTGGGGATCTGCTGAAGCAAGCACGAGGCAGCAAAGACACCAGCCCCAGCCACAGTCGCAAAGGAAGCATTGCGCCAGGCACAGACGGCAATGTCGAATCAAAGGAGAGCCGTGATGTAGGCGTTACAATCCCGCCGCGGAGACCCCTCCGGCCAGAGGATGTGGAGCTTGAGCGGAAGAGGGTCGAAGCTAGGGAAAGGTACTGCACCTCTTTACAACAACGCAACATGGGTTTACGGTCTATTAACAAGACTACTAGAGACCTTCGCACCGCCCTGAAAACCCTCTCCGACCAGTCGCTCAAGACTTCCCGCCGCCTCGATGATACATATTACTCCATACTTGAGAAGGTATCGGTGCTACGGCAGACGATAGGCTCTTTGCAAGAACTGTCTGGGCTAACCAAAGAGCTCCACGACAATTTCGAGTCGGACACGAAGGAGCTGATCGACGACGTTCGGGGACAATACGACGGGTTCGACAGTTTTGACAATCAGCAGCAACAACTTGTCGACTTGGAGGAACGCATTCACGTGGGCAAGCAGAAAGCGGATTCTTTGACGCATCGGCTCGCAAAGACCAAGGAGCGTGTCGATGCGCGAGCTCAATCTGAGCAGGAATGGGCTGCGAGGAAACACCCGTATGGTACCCCACCAACACACCTGCAGAGTCATTTATTGACATGTATCAGGTCGCACGCGCATACTCTGGGCCATCTTGGGCTCGATAGCTGCCCTCGTCTTCGCTCTGATCCTCTTCCACCAGCTGAAGCCGATCGATGTCACCCATGACGACAGACCTACTACAGATTTCGCATCAAGAGCTAAGATCATCAATGCGCCTATACCTGATATAGCGAAGCAAGCGATTATCGGTCCGACGACAAGCAAGTCTGAACTGGAGCCAATACTGACACATGCAGCAGAAAGTATTGGTGACGACGATCGGTTGAGGGTCTTTGACGAGTTGTAGGAGTTGCATTGTTTTAGTTTGTATTGAGATACCCACACAGTAGCTGGCGTTTATTGAGTACAGTAATAATGGGTCCAAAGACACATGAAAGTGCGACATGCACCTATTCAAGCTCGCTTGGTGTTGCTTATCTTACAGTGAGCATGAAGGATGCGAGATGCGGGCTGTGTGAATTGAAACATGGGCTGAGCTTATACGAGCGTTCTACGCGGTGTACGAACCCGCGCCACGCTGTCCGACATGACATAGCCAACGATGCGGCTCTACCATCCCCACATCGCATGATGATCCACATTTGATCAGCACTTGTTTCTATTCGCGTCACAACGGGCAAGCAGCAAGGGCAACGATGGGGGCCTTGCTACGCCATGTGGTACGTAATGCTTCTATATGGAGATTCTACCGTGTTCGACAGCCTTTCGTTCGACCTCAGTATTTAACAACCATCATTCTTAGCCTTGCATTTCAACCATCCATCTAATTCTTCACACGTCTCTCGCTCAAGAATCTATCAACGAATAATAATAACCCTCTTCCAATCGTTCACACAATCTCAACTCTATCAAAATGAAGACCTCATTCGCTGCCGCTGCCGCCGCCGCACTCCTCTTCACCACATGCGCAGCCACATCAAACCCTGAAATCGCAGGCAACTTCCGCCGTCAAGACAACAACACAGTAACCAGTGTCGTCTCCGCCGCGCCTACACTTAGCTCGCCCGAATCAATCGTCACATCGATCGAAACCATCACACCATCAGGATCGCCGAGACCGAGTGGAAATTTGACAACGCCTTCGGGCACGATGAGGCCGACTGCCAGTCAGACGAGCGAGGTGCCAAGGGAATCTACGGGCGCGGCGAGCGCGGTGGGTGTGGGCATGGGCATGGTTGTTGGTGCGATTGCAGCCATGTTGGTCTAAACCTGGAAAATATTGGTCGGAAGTTGGTACGAACCGAACGTACTGAGCTTGTCTGGGATTACTTGATTGGTTTGGGGTAATGAATGGGTTTGAGTTGGGATTTGGGATGGGCGCATAGCGATGGCGTTTGTGTCTTTGATAAGATGGATAGAACACTTCAAGCATGAGTTTGAGATGTAGTCCTTCAATCGGAAATCTTAATCTCGGAATCTTCTTGTTCGATTTTTCTTCTCAACTAATTTTACGACAATCATTCCGCGTCCCTCTTGCTCGTTATCTTCGTCTGGCTATTGAACGACGCCGCTTCATCCAACTCAATATCGCTATCAGTCCGGACCCAGCCATTGTTCGAAGCCCTCGTACTGACCCGTATCCTGCTCTGTCTCTTACTCTTGTTGGATTGTCCATTTGTGCCTGTCCCGTAGTTGCTTGGGCCTTTGGATTGTTGGGTTGAAGTGAGCCGGAGAACGCCACCGAGGAGAGGTTTGAGGGAGGGTGCGCAGGCGGCTATGATGCCAGTGTTGACTTGGAGAAAACCCCAGAATTGAATGTCGTTCGTACTTTACATGTTTTAGTGGGTAGTCTTTGGTGTAGGTGCATGACTAGGGACGTACAACGATTGGTCGGGATCACCTCTTTTTGTGTTTTGAACGACTGTTTTGACGACGCCCATCGCGACTGCACTTGATAGCCGTCAGTAGCCGTGCACAAATACAAAGACTGCAGACTCACATATAGCCTAAGCTTAGAATGAAGATGAGATAGATGCGTGTTTTCTGCCTCATCTGCAGGCCCAATATAATAGGCACAGGAAGAGAGGCGAAACAAATATCAGTCAAAATATTGCAAGCTATGTATTGTTAGTGGAAGACGAACTGTGAAGTCAAACTAGTCAAAGCACGACTTACATGTGTTCATCAGCGCAAATCCCTTATGAAATTTGACGGGCAGACATTTTGCCCTGAGATCCTTGTTCCAAAAGCCAGATATAGGCTTGCAGACGGCGGCCCATTCACCCCACGAGACGATTGTATACAGACACACAAATCCTGACAATGTTAGACGACAGCCACTGCCTACCTCATTGAGTATCAGGGTGGCTACAACTTACCAATGAGCGTCCAGAGCATTCTCGTGTATAGTGGTGGAGGACTAAGTCGAAGGAGGGAGAATCCGACGGAGAGCTTAAGAAAGGCCATGCCGCCAATGGAAGAGACTATCGCTTGTATGAAGGTCAACTTCAGGTACTCGTAATGGTCTTTATTCTCCAGAGTGTCAGTGTGACGACCCAAGCCGTGCTGGCCAGCCAGTATGTAGGTCACCATGCCTCCAAGAAATACACAGGCCTAGCTGATGTAGTCAGCGACTAGATCAAAACATTGCAGACACATTTTGGTCGCTCACCGTTGCAGCCAACATAAGAGCGTCATCTCTGCCGAATGCCTTCACGACAACAATGCGAGCGTACGTGCGCATCGCGACGAAGATCAGAGCGACAGCATGGAAGGCTGCCGTCACTCCGAGGAGGTAGCCTAAGTTACTCTCTGCGGCGCGGGCCGGATCAGTATTCTTCGGCGCCATGTTGAGGCAACAAAATAGAGTGCGGTAGAAGCGGTAGAAGGTACTTAGAGTGAGGGATAGTCAGTGCCATATGTTGTTTTTCCGAAACGAAGGATTCGTTGTGTGACATTTTGCCATCCAACAACATCTGGTCCCCAACATGGCAGGATGCTTCGTTAAGCATGAGGCACGGTGATGTTCCAGGGAATCGAGCACATGCATGTGGTCTCGTTCATTGGTTGCTTGGCCAGTTCGCCACATAACGCGACGTAGGTGCGATCCTTACCACGGAACATCTGGCTTCGACGAAAGCCCTTCGTAAGATTTGCATTTCCGAACTGTTCAAAATGCATTGTAGCGAGTGCGACCCGAGAGCTGCTGCACTCACGTCTGCATTTAGTAGGCTTCGGAGTTAGATGCGTAAATGTACTAGCTCGAGTAACAAACTTCAGGGAAAGATCGCCCCAGCGCAACGGCCCGGCGGGCATTCGAACATCTGGTGGGTCTATGGATCGTTCCACCGTCCTAAGAAGCATCGATGACCGAGCCCGCTTAGGTGATAAACGTCTTTTTCCCCGCGTGTGGAGTTACACGCACCCGTTTAACTGAGCAGAGGTAGGGCTTCAAACCTGTTCCCGAAGAAAAGATTTGGAGAAGCGCAGTCGTACGGGTCAGCTCTTGGGTACGGCTTCTCGTTTGTGGCGGAAGAGGCCATCCGACTCTACCGGTACACCAGGCCTAGATTGCGACTGCTGTTCAATTGCCTTTAAGCGACCGGAAGAGAAAACCCGTACAGTACCATCCCGTGTGGAGGATTGCTAGCGCTCCTACCACACACGGGACGTGGGCATGGTAATCTTCAGGGAATGCCGGGACGTCCAATGGGCTTTTCATCCTGACATGGCCACGGCTACGCGATGGAACGCTAGTGGCCCAATCGAGTGGTACTCAGGGTTTGTGGCACTCGAAGGATGTACACTAACCTACGCATAGTATGCAGTCCGTAACATTTGTTGACTTTCCTTGCATGTTAATCTTAAGCTAAAGCAGGATGCAGGATGCGAGCCCTCATTAGACGCGGCTTAGGTGTACTCTAACCTGCATCCATCGGATTTAGCCTTCCTGAATCTCATCGTGCTCCCGAGGTCGCCTCAGAGTCGCCTTCTTCCGAAATCGATCCTTGGGATATGGATGCAAGATCGCGGCAAAGCCCCTGCATGATTCGAAGGCGAACTTTTCAGATGTATATAATCGCCAACTTGAGGCGTCTTATGCTATCTCCCCACGCTGTCAAACCTTGCCCATAGCGAGTTACGCCCCTTCGCAATGCGTCTGTTTCATGCTGTAAGCGCCGTGCAGCTACTGGCTGCCGGCCTCGTGGCTACTGCTCCCCTCGACTCGGCCTCCACTCCGGTCATCGATATCGACCCAACAGTTGATCCTCTTGAGGCTCTCGCCCAACTGCAGCAGCATGCTTATGACACGCTTGAACAGAGCGATGTTGTCTCAAAAAGGGCTCCGAAGGGCTGCTCATTGGCTACCGCAACCATACGGAAAGACTGGTAAGTTTGTCACGCGCATGAACTTGTACCTTCTAATCTTGTCAAGGGATTACATGAGCAAGCCGGATCGGAAAGCATACATCAAGGCTGTACAGTGTCTTCGAACACTGCCATCCAAATCCGACAAGTCATGGGCCCCAGCAGCGAAGACTCGTTTCGACGATTTCGTCGCCATCCATGTGAACCAGACCATGTACATCCATGGTAACGGTCTCTTCCTCACATGGCATCGCTACTTCGTATGGGCATACGAGCAAGCCCTGCGAAATGAATGCGGCTACAAAGGCTACCAACCTGTGAGTCTCAAATCATCGCACTGATCCTTAACACATATCTGACATCGCTAGTACTGGAACTGGTTCGCCAACACCGACAACATCTACAAATCCCCCGTCTTCGATGGTAGCGACACCAGCATGGGTGGCGACGGCGAATTCTTCGCACACAACGGCAGTCTCGCAGGCGCTCGCACCATCGTCATCCCCTCAGGCAAAGGCGGAGGCTGCGTCAAGAGCGGCCCCTTCAAGAAGTACAAACACCTCGCATCTCATGCTTTAATCCTCAGATACAGAAACTAACACACATCACAGTACGCAAGCAAACATCGGCCCCATCTCCCCGGGCATGCAAGGCTTTACAGACCTCGCCCTCGACACAACAGACTTCAACCCCCGCTGTCTCCGCCGCGACATCTCCCCTTACATCCCGCAGAAATGGTTCACAACCGCCAACCTACTGAACGTCACCATCGGCCCCGGCTCCCGCACGCACCGCCTCTTCTGGACCGAAATCCAAGGCCGCTACCCCGACGGCTTCCTCGGGCTGCACACATCGGGCCACTATACGATGGGCGGCGACGCGACGGATTTGTACAGCTCGGTTAACGATCCTGCGTTTTGGCTGCATCATGCGATGCTGGATCGCATTTATTGGATTTGGCAGGTGTTGCATCCGAAGGAGGCCGGGAAGGTCGCGGGGACTTTGACGTTGCAGAATAGGCCGCCGACGAGGGATGCGATGGTGGAGGAGCCGCTGGAGATGGGGGTTAATGGGAAGACGGTCAAGATTAAGGACGTTTTGGATACGATGGGGGGAAGTCCTTTGTGCTATGTGTATGTGTGAGGACTTTGACGGAGTTGATAGCCTAGAGGGAACGAATGGCTGTTCTTGTTGATAGTTCTACGCTGGCTTTGTGTGAGATGTATAGTGAACATCGCGGATACGCTAGATGCAAAAGGATAAAAACATCACGCTTCATGAAGACAACCCGCACTTTGTGCAAGATCAACACATGATTCAAACGGATAAATTCACATATGTAGCTAGCGAGTATCGCTCAGGCCAAATAACCATCCATACAAGAAAAGAGTCCAGCCTAAGGGCGCACTCGGGTATCCCATGCCAAGATCCAAACGCCGCAAATTTACAAGCAAGCAGCACATACATACAGCTCCTACCACGAGCAGTCCCAAAAAGCGCTCGTGTCTAGCTACGCAACGATGCTCACGCACTCTCCTCACTCCCCTCGCTCGAAAAATAGCTCTGATCCAATCTCAAAATCCACTCAATCTTCTCGCGCTCACTCCTTGCACGGAAAATATACGTGTTACTCTTTGCGAAAACGGCGAAAATCGTGTCTTTCAGCCCCTGGCCTTGACTTCCGCTGCTGCTGTTCAGCAACTTGGCAATTTGCGGCGAGTGGTCGACGCGCGCGGTACTGACGTTGATGGCGTTGATTTCATCGCCGTCAGTTGAATAGATGTGCATGTATGGCTTGCGTAGTTCGACGAAGCGACGGATCCAGCGCGTATTGGTGAGGTCGGGAGTGAGAAGGTATGAGGATTTTAGGAGCGTCGGGTTTTTGGACACAAAGCGGACAGTGGCGGTAAGACTGGGCGCGGGAGCTGGTGATGGTGACGGGGAGCGCGGTGCAAATGCTGCGCCGTTCGATGGTGGTTCGAGGTTTGTGGGATTGAGGATGATCTCGGCGGGTGCTTTCTTGGTTTGCCAGAGACTTACAACACGCTTCAGTAGGGCGATTTGATCCTCATTGAGTTCGGCAGTGGAGGCGAGGTTGGGAACCGTGAGGGCCTTGGAAGATAAAACAGATCGAGCGGTTTCAATCTCTGCGATGCGACGCCGACGCTTCTCGATGTCGATGAAATCGCGGACTAGAGACACGCCACGAGGCGTCCAGCCAGCGAGCTGCTCCTCGCCTTTGATGTAGTCATCGCGAGTATTCATCCGCCAGAGGTCGGTCGCTCGTTTGACAGAAGTGGGACGAATGGCAACGTTGAAGATGCCGACTGTAGAGTGGACAATCTTTACTGGGTTCCATAGAGCTGCCAAAGCGAAGAGGGAGTTTTGTCGCACGAACGTTCGGCTGCGAATCTGCATGCCTAGGTCCAACGAGAAGAGCATAGGTTGTGCGAGCTTGGGCGACTTGACATTGAACAACAATGTCGCTTGGACACGGTACTTGTCTTGCGTCGCACGATCCAGGAGTAACGAGCCATGGGCAGTACTGTCCCACCGACCCACGAACTTCACGTTGGATGTGCCATCGGCGTGGTCTCTGACGACGGGCGGTGCGACCAAATCAATCGGTACCTCCTTCACTGGTGAGTCGATGCCAGGAGAGTTGCCTGATGCGTCGATGAGGCGGATGCGACCCATACGCATGGAGGTGACGTTTTGCCATTGGAGTGTATCCCCGGAAGTGTGGGTCAGATTCACAACAATGCGGCGAGCTAGACCTTGATGCAGCTGATACACACCAGCATCCATAATGCTGCTTTGTGTGACTTCGACAGGCTGGTATGTGCCATCATCAGTAATCTCATGGATCTGGACGCGTGAAAAAATGTCGTGGTTGTCCTCTGTGTAGAACTCAGACTCTGGCAATCGCGCAGTCCGGCGCTTCTGTGTCGGCTTGTCTGCCGTGTCGCGCATATCATCCCAGCTGAGCAACTTGTCGAGATGTATCTCAGTGACCTTTGCGAACAACGAAACCCTTAGGTAAGTATCCCGTGGACTTGGATATGGCACACTCATGCTATGCATACTCTCGAAACGCACGGGCCCCTCGTCGAAGTCGGTGATCCAAGTTGTCGTTGTTGCGCCGCTTTCGTCGGATATGCCAGGAAGGAAGAGTACAGCGTGGACCTTTGTGCCCTCTCGTTCAGGAAAGCCAATAAATTCATGCATACCGACATTGAACTTCAGCGTCGTGGATGGAGCCTCGGCGGACGAAGGTTCTAGAGACAGATGTATTATGCCGATCGGGTTGGATGTGTAAGGCGAAATGACATCAAGATTGAAATCTCGAACTCTGGATTCAAAAACCGCAGCAAGGGGAACGTCAACATCGCCTATCCGCGAGAATTCCGGCATGCAAGGTTCTGAGAATGGCGATTCAGGGTTGAAGTGCTGTAAATACTCCGGTCTGTTCATGTACTGGTTGATCTGATGCATGCGGCGAACGCGTTGTCGGAGCTTTTGTAATGACCAGAGATGGACGACTTCATTTCTGAAATCAATCACTCGTACGCCAACGCAAGGCTTTGGAGTGCTTTCGAGACAATCATCCTCCTCACCAGGGATGCCCATGTTGACAAGGTCGTATGATGATGGAACGCAGTGGCCGACGTCAACAATGCAGAACTGAAAGACAACCCGCTTGCCCATTTGTTGGCTGAGAATCTGTGCTTCCTTCATGGTCGCCGCGTTTTGAAGAATAGTCTCGGCCATAGTGACATACTTGCGATGCCGCCATTGTTGGAAGACCTTCTTAGCCAGTTCCAATCGCTTGTCGTTTTGCTCCTCTGTCGCTGGTGTTTCACTTGCTTCGGTTGCAGATTCGTGGCCAAGCTCCTTCAGCTGTCGCTCGTAAGTCTCTTTCTGTTCCAGCATATGCTTTTCCATCTCCAACTTTGCAGCACGTAATTCCTCGAGCTCTACTTTGGCTTCTGCGTCGGATTTGAGTTTGGCGTGGTAGTCACCCTTTTGTTGATCGATCCTCTCTTGCATGTCATTGCGCATCTCTTGCATCTTCTCACTGCCCTCGTGTTGCGGCGTAGAAGGCATGGTCAGAGCCGTGTCAAGCGAAAAATTGTCAAGAGTACCCCCTGACGCATACTTTTCACGGTAGGAAGAAGTCGAATCCATATCGTCGTCGTTGTTCTGCCATATGCGACTTTCTGCCGTTTACCGGATTTCGCGTAACCAGTCAGGTCCTCGAAAAGCGTGTCAAACTCCTCATCGCCTAGGTCCTCAACCCGCTGGTCTGATCCCACCAAAACGGTGAGTGCCTCTCTCCGCGCGTATGAAAATTCAGATTCTCGGCCGCGCTGCCATAGTGCTGGAGACCGAGCTCTTGGACTGTCCGAATCGAAATCCGAGTTCGCTATGCTGATGGTGCTGAAGGACCGATCATGGCCAGGCCCGTGGTGCAGGTGACGGAGAGTTGAAATGACTTGGTGTTACTGAGTGACGAAGCAGACTCGTGCCTACTACTTCGGCGCGCTCAGCCCTTGCCTCTTGCGGATTGTTGAATCGGAAGATATGGAAGTCGCCCAGGATAATCCGGTGACCGCTTTTGAGAAGTCGCGGCTTAGTGATTCGGATCCCGTTGACCATGACGCTTGCAGTCTCCTTGGGTATCACAGTCACTTTTCCGTCCACGTTCTCGAAGTCGCAGTGCTGTGCTAGAATCTGAGAGCCGTTCAAGCGTATCTGCGCAGTCTGGCCCTCAATGTCGGAGTTGCCCACTGTGGTCATTCCTGGTTTCAAGTTGTATACCAAACATTCGGTCAAGAGGGGATCGTCACTCAGATTGACCAAATGTGGCATGTTCTTTGGTGTTGACAGCCCAACGAAGCCCTTCTCGATGCTGATGCCGAGCTCTTCCAAAGCAGCCTCACGTTCCTTGTGAATCTCCTCGGTCTTCAACAGCTTCTCCTCCCATGTCTGATTGAGGTCCTTATAAAGCTTCTCCGACTGGTTGAGCTGCTCTGCAATCTCGGCTTTTGAAACCTTCTTCACTGTTCCATCTTCCTGTGTAATGGACACAATTTGTTTGTCCAAAGGTGTATCAGGCGCATATTGCTCTTCCATTGTGGCACCACTGCCACCTGAACCGCCTCCAGTGAGCTGTCCGCGAAGCTTTGCGAGTTCTTCCTGGAGTTCTCTGATCATACGCGCGTTTGGATCCTCGTTGACGACCGCGTGGTTCTTGATGCGCTTGGCTGAATCGGCATATCTTAGGGTTGATAAAGTCTCCTCGAAGTTGATGTCGGCTGGGGAAATGGCAGCAATCATAGCAGTCATACTGTTGCCACCAAGGGAGTCCTTCAACAGCCAGGTCAAGATGGAGTCTCGGTAAGGCACTTGGGTCCTCTTCTTCCCACTCGACATGTCGGCTAGCGATGCAATGACACGTCCTAGGGTAGACAGCGACCTGTTAATTTCAGCTCCTTCCTTCAGCCGCGCACCAGTTGCTCCCGTGGACTGTGCTCTTTCTGAACCGGCCAAATCGACCAGACTGATTTTGGCTACCCGCTCTCCGCTCATGCTGGTTGTAACATCGTGGCGTTTCTGGGTAAGGGTCAGGGTGAAGACGGCGTGCGATCGCGAGGACGTCTCGTTCATGTTGGTCGCGGCAACGGTACGAGCCTTGTTTCCTTTCGTCCATCAAGTTTTCAATCTCGGGGAAGGACTGTACAACCAATTTCGCCAGGTCTTTCGACGTACGGACCCGGTCGAGGGATGCTCTCGCACTCGCAAATTCCCCCTTATTCGATGGGTTTAGGGAGATCGCGGACCTTCTCGTTGTAGATCTCCCAAGACGAAAACCTCGAACTGTGCAGCTCGAGTTCTTGTCTCGCCCTGGACCCTCTTTTAAATGTGCCTCGAACATTGTCTTGACATAAGTTGGGGGGATAATTCCCGTACTCCTGCCCATTGCTATCCTTCGACAGTAATATTCTTAAACTCGACTGA